CAGTGTATATATTCATATATAACTTTCTCAATCCTAACACAAACATGATAGAAATCTTTTGTTTTCTAAAAACTATTTCTTGTTTTTTGCACAACCCAGTTTTATACCGGTAAAAATTAACATTGAATACTTATGTTTTTTAAATCTGTATCCTTAGAGGCAAAGGAAAGTGCATATTGTGCTGTAACCACCGCACTTTTTGTGAATTTGCAGATAACAATTTCTCTTTTACCCAACATTTTATTATTGGTCAGCGTAAATCATACGTGAGTGTACAATTCGTCTATTGACCAGTCGATCGACAAGCTTTTACAAAATGGAATTATACTGAGAATTCTTCATAACCCCTGGTACGTAACTATGCCATGATAAGCGAAGGTTACGTGAATTAAAAACCCACCTATTCGAAATTTTCCACCTACAATACATTTACAACTATTAATTTCGGTTCAAAAATAGTCTGTTCAATTAAATAATACTACTCGTATTAATTCTATGATTGCGCACTCAACTACGTAAAGGTAAAACAATCTCTAGATGTAGATCAAATTTTCATTAAGGAAAAAATTAAACCAAATTTAAATAAACCCTAACGAGTGCTTACGATATGCACAAAAATGCAATTAAGTTTAGATGGTTCTTGTGTTGATTAAGTTTAAAATTATTTATGAACCTTACGCACTCATATAACTGATTTAATATAAATAAACGTTTATTACACTACAAAACTTTTGAATAAACTCATTTACTGTGGAATTTTATAAAAATTTTATAAAGACATGACGTCAATTTGTAATTAATAAAGCTATTGTTTTGCTGTACTACAAACCGTCTTTATTATAAACCAGCCTAATGTAGGATTTGCTTTATTCCTTAATGATGTTTGGCTGTGTACTAATAATTACACGACTTCCCTATGTCATGGAACATTCGAGAAAAATCAATGGATACTGTTTAGAATGGCATTATCGTTTTCGATCAAGGTTTGGCATAATATTTCATGGGAACAAAATTACATACGGAAAGACTTTACATACTTACTAAACATTTACTTCTGTCGTAGAGGAGATTATACTAGACTTAGAGGATCAATTGCACAACTTACATACTTGATTCCACTGTCGTATTTATATATTACTAGCTGTACCCGCGTCTTCGTCCGCGTGGAAATTAACTTTATTTTTCTAAAATAATAGTAGCCTAGGTTACTCGTTATTACATCAGCTACCTGCTAATAAAACTCCAGCGATTTCAGAGATTAGCCGGAACAAATAGACAGACACACAAAAATTGACAAAAATGTTATTTTGGTGTATGTGCCGTATTTATATTCATGTAGTAAGTAGTAAAAACACGGTTATTTGAATATTACAAACAGACACTCCAATTTAATTTATATGTATAGATAATTCTAGTAAACTCTATTCTTTACCTGTTGACGTTGTCGTTATATGAACTCGGTAAGCATTAGTCTGTGATTGTATCTTGTACTTTATTAAAAACCATTGTACAGTACAGTACAGAAGAAAAACGATAACAGAAAATGTTATATAAAAACACAATAATAATAACCTTGCGAATAAATATACAGTTCTGTTACGGTGCCAAAAATAGTTTATTATTCTGCTGTCATTCGCCAGTTGTTGCTGATTAATCACATAACTAACTTTAATTAGTTATTTATGCTATCGCTCCTAGTGATTTTCTGTACAAGCTAGTACATATGTATAATTTCCTTTCGTAAAAGGTTTCAATTATACATATAAAACAAGTTATAGAAAAAACATAAAACTATAAAATTGCTGTTTTTTGTCTGCTTTGACCGATTTGCGTGCAAACCAAAATGGGTCAAACTGTTTATATTATTAGTGCGCACAAACGCACAGACAAATTTGTAATAACAATTGTTCAGATAAAATTCTGAATATTTTTTGTAATATATCTTTCATGTACAGACAACTATTAGTTCAAACTTTTTTAAGTTAATATAAATTAAGTAATTAAATTATAATAAAACTTGATTTGTGAAATTACTACGTATATTGTCGAAATATAAATATATATATTTTTACAAGAATGGCAGGTACCATGTACGAGTAGGCTTGTCATTTCACATGTGACATGTAATGGCCTTAAGCAGACGGTCGGGCGGCATATTATACATGTGTCGGGAATATGAGTAGTGTATTTTTATATTCACGACACGTGTAATATGAAACCTGTGGTGGGCAGCGGCCGCGACCGTCTGTCTGGCAACTTGTCACGCTGGTTACCCCCACACAAACGTTCAATGGTACGCCTTATCAACGCATCGTTTTGATTTCATTGTTGCACTTAATTACTGGTACAAACAATTGGCGACCCTAGTTATTACACCCGAGCGTGGAAATTACATTGTACTTTTAATAGACCTGAAAAAAAATGAAGGTTGTTAATTCGGATATTTTTATGTGTGTTTACTCAGAACTGCCTCGTTTGGTAGCTAAAGGTAAACCAAATAGCTGCTAAGTAAATATAATATTAGTATGCATTCGAGAATTATTATTTTTTATTTGAAATAGAATGTTATTTTATGATTGGTCTCATAAAAATCTCATCAAAATTAGTTTGGTATTTAAATCATAATAAATAGAAAAGTGTTTCTTTGGTGCTCTTGGAGTTTTCTTCTTTTTTTTTTAAATAGGAAGCTTGGCACCGAAACCTGTTAAAACAATATAACCTAGCCGTATTTGTTAATGACAGTGGTAATTATTAATGAATTCAACTACCATGTGAAAATCAAACGAACAATTGTAGGTACAAAATGCAGTTATTGTTTCATAAATAAAAGTTTAATTAAAATACATATACATTATGTTGCATCTAGGAAGTATATAGAAATACTGAAAAATGAAGGGCAACTTTACTTTATTGTTAGTGGTTCACCTCGAAGATTATATTTCTGTTTACTCGTCCGAGTCATATGGAGTAATTGTTATAAATAGGATTATGTATAATTAAAAGAAAGACCGTTTATGTATTGTGTATAAACGGTCAAAATAAGACGAAATTGGATAAAGAATTAACTAATACAAAACTTGTTCGATGATCGTCTAGAATAAATTTCACGCAATAAATAGAAATTGATTGCGTTATTGTATTTATACCGTTTCGGTAATATTCAACAGTATTATTATATATTGTACGTCAATATTGAGACAGCTGATAACTGTGATCGTAAATATCATTTGATGCAATTGCTAAAGGTGCGAATTGTTATACAATGTACAAATCCATCGTTTGTGACTGATGATGTGAAATCATACTTATAATGTGTTACATAAAGTTTTTTTTTTCTACAAAAATATACTACTTAAAATCATGACATAATTAATAATTAGCATATAATTCAGCTTTATTCTACTTGTATCAGATTATGCAGGGTTGGTTAGTTATAAAGGTATATCAAAGTCAAAATGCATACTCATATAACTGAACAACTTTCACCAAAAAACAAAGTGGCAATATGAGAATAAATATCTAATGTTTCAAAAGACATCACGTTATGATGCAATTTGTATAAAGGTTTTGAAAATGATTTCCCTTTTTCTACTTCACTTCTTTGGAAAATTCATTTATTTGTTTTGGCGTATACCATTGAAAACTACAAATCCTTTTATGAATTTTGCTTTTCTGTCCTTTAGTTTGAATTTATTACGAGGCTTTTTTTTTGTTTCTATATAACCTTTGTAAATCATAATGTTTGTTTATATGCATAGTAAAAATGTCATAATAATTTAATTGACATTGCAAACATTATTTTGATAATAAATATTATTTTTGAAATTACACTTTCTATTAAGATATACCATTCAGGGGATATCAAAAATCAAATCAAAAATGTGGTACATAATACGTTAAGCCTTAATATCTTTCATTGACTTTTAATTATAAAATCATTTGTCTTTTATAATAACATCATGCATTTCTAAAAACTAATCTCTAAGAGGGCAGCCAACAATCAGTTCACAACATACGATTAGTGCATATTGGTGCGATAATATGTAATCCGATTAGCAACTAAGTACATGATGTAGTCAAAAATACATTTCCTCAATTATTAATAATCTACTGTTTTGCTACCCGGCATGAACACAAAGTCTTGAGTTAGACTGTGGATAGTCAACATATAAAGAAACTTTATATGACTTTTTCACTGATACTCCGACTGGGAATACCAATAACATACTATTATTATTCAATATATATTCCTTACTAGCTGTGCCCGCGACTACGTTCGCGTGGAATGGATTACGAACAACGAATGTCCTTACATATTTTCCTGTTGTATTTTATCCCCTTTAGGATAAAATTTTTACAAACGTTTAAAGTCATATTTATTTATATTCAAAAACTAGCTGTTCCTGTGACTTCGTCTGCGTGGAATTTAAATTTATTTTTCTAAAATAAAAGACTGAAATTAAAGTAGCCAATATTACTCCTTATTACATCAGCCACTTGCCAAAAAAAGTAATTATATTCATATGCATGTAGTAAAAAACGGTTATTTGAATATTACAAACAGACACTCCAATTTTATTTATATGTATAGAGTATAGATGATAGATAGATCACAATTCCGCTTTCAACCGCTTACAACCCTTTTTTCGCATTAGAAAGTAGTCTATGTCCTTTCTCAGGGTCTAGACCACCTGTGTACTAAATTTCATTTAAATCGGTTCAGTACTTTTAGCGTAAAAGCGCGACAGACAAACTTACGCGTTTATAATATTAAAGTAAGGATTGCACTGATAATTTAGAATAACAAATGGATATCAAAAAAGAATGAGAGCAAGGGTGGATTCATGGTAGAATTGACCCTAGCCACGTTGTATTCAAGCCCATACCCAGCGAAATGTAGAATCAAGTGATCGCGTTCGTCACAACGTAGACAGTTGACAATGCCTCTATCTCATCTTAGATATCAGTCCTAAACTTTGGAAATATTTTTATTGTTGCAGGTCGAGAAGCCGGTCACAGAAGGCCTTTCCCATAGAACACGCGATCAATGGGAGATTGACCGTTCCTCGCTCAAGTTTGTAAAGAAACTAGGACACGGACAGTTCGGTGAGGTATGGGAAGGCCAGTGGAACAATACTACTCCTGTTGCCATTAAAACCCTGAAATCTGGAACCATGGATCCAAAGGACTTCCTCGCCGAGGCCCAGATTATGAAAAAGTTGCGACACAATAAGTTAATCCAATTATATGCTGTCTGTACGCTCGAAGAACCTATTTACATCATCACAGAACTGATGAAAAATGGATCCTTGCTTGACTATTTGCAAGGTAAATATTAGATATATCTATAGCATTATTTTTCTTTGTATTTATCTACATTCGGCTGTTCCATTTACTACTCACTTATTTTGTTTTTTTCCGCTTCTTTCTCTTACAAAACCCTCTTTTTCCTTTTCTTACAACTTTCCACCAAGTCTGTATTTGTTAATGACTATCGACAACAGTTACTTCATATTCTAGTCATGAAAACATATGTAGTTAATTATACAATCAAATTTATTTTGTGAAGAGTATAAAAAATAAGTCTTGTGAACATATAGTTAGTTAGTGAAGGTATAGTTGCCATATTATAGTATACAATGTTATGTCAATTATGAAAATCGAACTCTCTACGAATTTGTCCACAACATCCTCCGGGCAGTACCTAAAGCAAACGAAACAAATTAATCAGTTGCATCAATCTTCAGACCAGTCCCAGCAGGACTCGCTCTCGGATAAAGATTTCTATCTGTCCAATGGATCCGATAACAGCAGTGCTTTTTTTTGTGCACACAATTTGAGTATGTCGTTGGTAATAATGGCTGTACATACGGTTCAAGTAATGTACAGTTTCCTGTATTTTGTGAACATCAATAATACCCAATTTATTTGATTGAAAATTGCTTAATACCTGTGACTAATATGTTTGACACCCATGGAAGTTAATAAAGTAAGGAATAATATAAAAAAAATATCATTTTAATAATATTATCATCTAGTTTTTATAAGCATAGGTTATGTTTCACTAGTAGGTTAGGCAATTTTGTACTAGTCATATACATCGTAAGTACTCGGTATGTACAATAGCTTTTTTATTATTCCACAGGCAAAGGCCGTGGCTTGAAACTGCAACAGTTGATCGACATGGCGGCGCAGATCGCTTCTGGTATGGCGTATCTCGAGTCGCAGAATTACATCCATCGCGATTTAGCCGCTAGGAACGTGCTCGTCGCCGATGCTAATATCGTTAAGATTGCTGATTTCGGACTCGCCAGACTTATAAAGGTAAAAAAATTCAATACTATTTCTAACAATTTTTTTTTGTGCTTATATTTTGATACGATTCCACAAATTGCTTAATAGTTACTTGAATTAGACTAGATACCAATCAGAGCAATTTCATTTAGTAGTTTACCAATACTATATTAAACACCATTGCAAAAACATTCATAATCACGTCAAATCAATAACCTACTCATTTTTTGTAATCGGTAGGAGAAAAAACTAAAAGCGGGTGAATGGTTTTGACTTATTAAGTTTGTTCGATTAAATAATAAACTAGGTGTAAATGTATCTTAAAATTTCGCAATGGCGCCTACCAATTTTTTACTCGCTGACCAGATAATATTTATGATAATAATTTATCATATTATTTGATTAATTAGTTTCATGTACAGGTAGGTAGGTGTGTTCCCTGGCGTCCGTCTGGTGAATTTTACAAAAATTACTCCCATATCTACATGTCCACTTAAAACTAGATTAGATAATTGGTGGATTAATTTTGTGCTATTTTTTATATGTAATGCATAGCTTAATACAATTTTCATATGTATTCTTGTGATATAATATACATATACTTAAATTTCATTAAAACAATTCCTCTATTTAGCTGTGATAAAGTAACAACTGAAAGACAGACATACTTTGGAATTCTGCTTGTAGGGACTGGTCTGTTTGGGTTGCGAACATTGATTAGACTAATTTTTAACTTTCATACAAACTGCCAAAATCACGTAGTGAAGTTACTTCCACGTTTCTGAGTATTCTACCTACAAGGTTGGTAGAATACTCAGTACCCAACAATACCTACAATTAGTAGGTATAAATATATCTTTAAATATTATTTCACAGGGACTAAGTAAAGAGAAAAAGAATAATAATATATTAGATTCATACGAATACATATGTGAAAGTGATTTGTACCACAACGGTAATAATAAATAGAGCCACAAATTGCCAATAACCTGTGCATTTGTGGCCCGCTTTATTCTGACCGTGACAACACGGCTGTATAAGTCAACTTTATTATAATTATAGTAATGATTTATTCTAAAACAATGGAATAATGGACAGTTTTGCATTTGTGGTTCGTGCAGTTATACAAACACTAGTTTAATAATGTAAATGGGCTTTCGTAGTGACGTCACTTTCAGTAAAGTACTTTAATAGATATTTTTTTAAATCATCTTATTGATTGTTTTCTCATTTGATATTTACTATTTGTTCCATGAATTCCGTCGATTTGAAATGAGAATGAAAATAACAATAGTACTTTTTAAGTATGTAACTTTTTAATTAATATACCGACACCTCTTAAAATTTAACCAAAATTCATTAAATAATAATAATAATTGACATTAAATAATAATAATTGAACGCTAATAAAGTTGTGTTGTTAAATACAAAAAGCAACATTTACGTACTGAACAGACAGTCGACCGCCATCTTTTTTTGACAATTTTCTATTTCGCTCTACTCTGACTTGGTCGGATGTTGTGTATTAAAGTCATGATAGTGTATTTGTATTTAATCAAATAAATTTTAGATATTTTTAGACAGCATTAAAAAAACTTGTATTTCTACACTCCTCCATATAAACGTAGACTGTCAAATTCTACACTCCTTTGTCCTCGTAATTTTCGTAAAACGGAGTAAAATATTTTGTTTCACATATTGTTAAAGTAATAAAATAATTTTGATGTTGTATGTCGTGTTTGATGTATTGAAATTATGTATGATATGTGTCATTAATGTCCTTTTTTTATATGGGTTCTAGATTTAGAAGAAAATTTTTAATCAGTATGTACTTTTTATCCAACAAACAAACCGAATCGTTATACACATTTTCAAAACATTTTTATGTTACCATTTCCTACTTAGTAATTGTTTAACGACTGTCGTTAGTGTAGGCCTAATGACTAGATAGTTGCCTCATTGCTCCAATATAAAAGCTATAAAATTCCATAAGCTGCCATAATCTATGATGCCTAGTACATTTTACTGCTTACTAGTTTTGTATATTTTGTGAGCGTCCTAGTTCGCAAAATTTCCGGTTCTTCGTTCCCTAGATAAAACGCCGTCATGGAAAAATAGGCATAAATTAGTTAGTATTGTAGTTAAGATAATCAAGTTTGCCATTACCTGAAACAAAACACATTCCAAACGCAAATTGATATCAAATCAGAAAGCAGTATATACATTATGCCTCGTAGGGAACGAGCGAACTAAAAGAACTATTATAGTTAGCAACGCAGCCGCGAACTAAACTGAACATTTCCAGTTATGAACTATTAAACACAATCATGTCATGTGTAGTCATGCACTACTACTTACATAAGCACGAGCTGCAGAACATACCGTGTTTTACACAGACTAATTAATAATACAGAAGCTAACATTCCATGTTTTTTTTTCAAGCCAACATTTCATATACTCTATAAAAATAACTTAGTTATGAGTATGAGTCTCTGTTTATTCATAAAACTTAATTCATTCATAATTTAAGAGATATGCTCTTGCCTTTGGAGCTCCCCCCACGGTACATAAAACGGTTTCTTTACTTCACACGTCATAAAATATTTTCTTTTTTCAATTCAAAAAAATATTATTCAGAACAGCTTTTAAGACGCACAAATTGTCTTAAAAGTTGTTCTGAATAATGTTTTCTTTTATTAGTTAAGTTTTTAGCAATATGTGTTTTATTTTAGACGTGAGATGTTCTAAATTTAATTCCATCAATATTACTGAAGTGATTCATCATACAAAAATGTACCATAATTGTCTTCATTTCTAGAAGATCTATTATATATTACTCTATGTATATTTTATACTATTCCGATTATGCCGACATACAAGTATATAGCGTACCTGGTATGTAACTGGCGGCTGTTTAGAAATAGATTTTAATACTATCATAACTAATAATAATATAATAACTTATTTTTCCTCAGGAGGATGAATATGAAGCACGCGTTGGTGCACGCTTCCCTATTAAATGGACGGCGCCCGAAGCTGCTAACTATAGCAAATTCTCAATTAAATCTGATGTTTGGTCATTTGGTATTTTGCTCACTGAGCTTGTCACATATGGCCGTATACCGTATCCGGGTAAGTGCTTCGATTGAAAAAGAATTCAATCTTAAAATAAAGACTAGTCGCTCGCCCCAACTTCAGTCAAGTCGAATGAATATAAATATTATAATAACATATTGACTACGGTATATAACTTAAATAATGTATGTGTACTAGAAAATATTTTTGGAATATACGCATACATGTTTAATCATATATAAACAAAATTTCCTACCTTGCGGAAAGATATTTTGCACATTATGCTCTATAAAAACAAACAAAGCACCATGGACATCACGTCATGTTGTTGCTTGGTACTCATGCGTTGCCATTCCGAAGTATTGAATTTAAAAATAATAAGAACTGAGTTCCTTGTCAGTTCTCTGCTCGGAAACACTTCTAACTGTAAATCTAGCGAGATTTGACATATCATTATACCTACATAAAGAAAGATATTTTGATTTGAAGGACTGAGATTTTATAATGTGTAATAATTTCTTGTAGGGATGACAAACGCAGAGGTCCTTCACCAAGTGGAGCACGGATACCGCATGCCGTGCCCGCAGAACTGTCCTGCGGCACTCTACGAGATCATGTTGGAGTGTTGGCATAAGGACCCGGTGAAGCGGCCCACGTTCGAGACCCTGCAGTGGAAGCTCGAGGACTTCTTCACCATGGACAACTCTGAGTACAAGGAGGCATCCGCCTACTGAGCCCGGCCTTCCCTGCCGCCCCACCGACACGCACACTCACATCACGTAAGTCTCACACACATTCACACATAAGTCGTTTCGTGACGGTAACCCTAGGAGAAAGACAATTATTAGTAATAGGGTTTAGTGATCGCATAGCTAGCCATGTCAGATCCAATGAAGTCCTCCATGAAAACCAACATCAATCCTGGTAAATTCACCACGTTGCGCTAGCTGATCTGACTAATGTCATCCTCCACTGGTTGGTGAGTACCATTAGAGCAGGCTTTATTTCATAAACGACCATTAAAAAAACAGTATGATTACAGAATGGATTTTGTGAGAGATGATAAATCTTATACATAGTTTAATATAGTCGCGGCCATCACGTATGCTGTCATAAAACATACTTTAACTATATTATTATACTTATAGTAATAATCATTACATAGTATAAAATAAAGTCGCTGTCACTGCTGTCCCTATGTATGTCTAATCTTTAAAACTACGCAACGGATTTTGAAGCGGTTTCTTTTAATAATACATATACACACGTGCGAAACCGGGGCGAGTAGCTAGTAATTGTATGTCATACACATAGTATGCGGTGATGGTGCAAATCTTACATAGAGCTCGATTCAGCTCCTCCCCTGCATACCCATATTAACCTTTCAAAGCGTTCACACGTAAGTCATATATGTATGAATATGACTCGTGTAAAAAACATTTTGTTATCATCTAATAACCAATGTACCATGACTCACAAAACACGGAACTTCATATAAGAGGAGGATGTTGATCTAATAATAATATATAATATAATATGTAATTGGGGAAATTATAATATTCAGTTAATGAATATCAAATTAAGATAAAAAGTCGTCACCGCAAAAATGTAATTAAATTTCAATTTAAAAAACATAGAAATAACAATATAATTTTAAGATCCTACATCATGATGTCATAGACTAGAACCGTGTCTAGTCATCACAGAAATCAATTGAGATGTTCTTGTGATTATAAAATAATTAATCAATTTTTTTCATAATTTTGGTGTATGTTTAAATACATATTGTTATATATCAATGTGTCAGTGTTTGCATCAAAATAGTAGTAGTAGCTGACTTTATTGTCCGTATGAACATTATGTAATATAAAAATGATCTCCACAGACGCCAGGCCTGTACCACATGCCGCCGGAGCTACAGATGTTACACAACAGCGCATCAATGCAACACCTCCAAATGCTCCAACTGGCGGCTCACCACGCGAGTCTGAACGAGATGCAAGCACACCAAGCCGCCCACCACCCGGGCGCCGGTCAGCACCAGACTAACGTCGGCCAGCTGCACCAACCTAGCTTGCAACACCAGGCGAGCGGTATGCAGCACCAGGCGGCCGTCGGCCACCCACACCAAGCGAGCGTCGGCCTGCAGCACCCGGTGAGCATAAGCCAACTCCAACATCCGGCGAGCATGGCCCAAATGGCGGCCACCAGCAGGACGCGGCAGATGTGCCACCACCATGGGGCACCGCGCCACGCCCAGCTGCCAGCTTACCGCACGCCCTAACAGCCGTTGCCCACAGACCACCAACTGCGGCTTTGGAACGGACACCCTCCCGCGCGACGATACAACAAGTACATAGATATGTAAACACCTTCGATTGGTTCGAAACGATGCAGGACACTTTTTTTAACACTGCAATTTTATTTTGTTTTATCTAGTTGCGATCCACCCGATTTTTAGGAAGTCTCATTTGTACCAAAATCAAATTAGCCGTACTAAGCTTAAGGCGTATTATTTATACTTATTAACTCCCATCCCTTGATAATCATATGAAAGTTCTGATTTGAAGAAGCAACATGGTTAAATATCTTACTCTAAGTGTCCACAAGTAAATGTAAAATTTATTATAAAACTAATTTGTAATGAGTGTAAAAAGGCAACATGATTTGGTATACATTTGGGAATTCGCTTCCTAACCCCTTCAAGGAAACCACTGCCATTTAAATACTTACATCACTTCGTCCACAAAAAGGCGATTATGTACATTTAATTATTATTAATTTGTACGCGGCGCTCCTGCGAGGTTATAGACACGTGGGCATATTTGTTTGGGAAAGCGGGTGCACTCTTACATTATCCATAATTCGCAAACGTGTTACCTTGCTACCCTCACCGTCGGAACGCCATACACGAAGTTGACAGAAAATAAGTAAATAAATCCAATGAAATGCACAAAATGACATACTTGAATATTTTCGGTGTGCGTTTTCCGCCGACATCGTAAACTTATCTGGAATCTCATGGCATATTAGTGTATTGTGGAAAATGGCATACATTAAATCACTATATGGTAAAGATTGTTTTCTCCATATTTTGCTATACAACTTAGTGTGCAGTCATTGTTTTTTCACTATGTTACCAATATATGTATTCAATAAGTAATTTTGTTTATACAAACAAGAAATTGATACTACCTTAATAAATAATTAAATTGTAATATATAATGTAAAAGTACATTATTGAATTAATTCTGATTGCACAATATACTTTCCAAGACCCCATTTGAATCTGTAGCGCAACTTAAAACATTCATCTCAAATAGCATTTTGAGTAACATTATATTACTTACTATTACAGTATATTACCTAATATGTTAGACGTAATCGCTACCCATAAATGTGAAGTTTGTATAGAATATTTCCACGCCCATAAACGCTATTCCCAAAACTTTGTCGTTTTCATAAAGCTCAGGGTTCATCTACAATGGATCGAGTTTTCGAATGGGGTAGCGACCCGTAATGTAGTATAATTTTATTCAGTTCAATCGAATAAGTTTAGTTAGACTACCTTCAAGTTTTCTAAATGTATTATTAATGTACCGTAGGTTAACACTACAGTTTTAAAAGTGGTAATAAAACGTTTTGTAAAGTGTTACTAAATATTCGTAAGGTCATATAATACGTAAACCACATAGTCACATTATTTGGACATTCCTACTTTTTTACTACGTATTAAAGTTCGGCAATAAAACTAACATATCAGTCTACATTGCCATTAGATATAATAAACTCTGTAACGTCCTCAACTTAACATGAACTATGTCTATCAGTCAAGATTGTTGACTGAAAAATGGTGTGAAACAGTCCATCTGTGCTATAGAAGACACTATATATATAAATACAAAAAATTCAAGATCATTAAAATTTATTTAATGCACAATTTTGTACTCTATTGAGTACGCAGAAGAGTAATATCCCGTTAACATACGAGTATAATCGTCCGTTGATTTACTATAGGTATATTGACTTAGCCAAACTAATAATTTTAATGAAAGTTCATTCTCGTTGTTTTAATATGATTGTACTTTTTAACAAGGACTCCTGACTGCGACATTTTGTATTGTAATTCACTTGTAGGTTGTTTGCCATTAAATTTTACGATTATACATTTGGCCTTATGACAAATCAGTAAATAAAGTATTGGAAGAGGCTATTTTACGACTAAACAAGACATTGGTTTCGTGTTTATTGCATATCGGTATATGAGCGATGCCGAGGAGTGATGATGGCGCGGGTGTGCGTGCGTGCTCGGCCGCTGTGGCGAGTGTGACGACCGTGGCAACTGTGACGGCGTGTACGCAGACTTAACGCGTATGTGTGCGTGATAAGGAGGAAATTTAGGTTCGGCAGGGAATCCAATCGTGCAATGAGAGCGCGATTTTGTATGTGTTTTAGTTTAAAAGGCGCATAATCGATTAGGTATTTCACCTTCGTATACCATGTTTAAAGTAGACTATCAATATTGGTGATAGATGCCAAATAATCCTAATAAAGAACTGAATTTTATATACATATTAATTGTTCTGAGGGTATTTAGATATTAGGACTTTATTTATGTAATTATTAACGCAATTGAATTTCTCTAAAATACAAATGATTATATCGAATGCGAGTCATTTATTTATTTAGTAATGATATTATGTAAACTTATTGTGTCTCGCGTATACAGTTTCCTAACAGATAAGTGACTTCGTCGAGCTCAACAATATACATTTTCTGTTAGTTATTGTATTGTATAGTGATGCAAATCCGAATCCTATCGTTTTATTTGTGCCAAGAGTTTAAGTTTAAGTAAAAGTTAGATGTCACGAAAAGCAGATCATATTGAGAATTATTGTAATGTGTATCTTACGATATAATATATCTTACGATTAAGTAAGATATAAATTGGCCTAAGTAAATAAGTATTTTTCAATGTGTAGGTTTTGTATCCTAACATATTAGAATTAACTTAGTATTATTTAAAGTCAGTAATTAATCACTTAAAGCAAGCATATTATTTACTTAAAACTGCACACTACTGAAGACGTTAATTCGACGTACATTGTGCAATATTATGTTAAAATCCGGTGCTTAAATTGTAATACGACAAGAGTTGAAGTAATTCATTCAATTTATTTACATCCTCAGAACATTTAAAGGAGTAGTTATTGATGTAAGCTTAAAAAAAATATTATAATACCAATATTATATATATATATAAATATAAAATAGTAAACGTTTGTCTTGTTAATTCTACTTCCTACGATCACTGTACATAAGAGCAATATTGAATCAAACTGTTGCGAGTGATATTACAACGTTGATATTAATTTTTTCGACAGATCAAAGTCCACTAAACCAATTGTAATTGGATCATCATAATATAACTTGTGACAAATAGAAAATTTCCTAGACTGTTAAATGAAAGAGACAATATTATTACAAAATGTAACTATTTCGCACAAATTATGTCTTTTAAACATACTCATAAGGTGTTTTCGTCTTTGGATGTTTATGTCACAAAATATTCGCAGTCTGTCAATGAGTAGTTACTAAGACTACATTGTACCAGAAATGAGAGATTGACTACAGAGAAAAGATACATTTATATTATTTTCGTTCGCTCGCCAGTCTTGATAACTACTCAATAAGTAGACCGTTTTCTCAATGCACTGTGGATAAAGCACGAATTATTTATATTAAAAAAATTAGACATTAGTACATCCCTTACAAACTAATTCAAGGCATCAGAGTTATGTAAGATTAAACAGAACTTATGCAACTTCAGTTAATGATTCCAACTCAATATTTTTTATTCTACTGTATCATTATTATTTACTCTATAATTTATTGTGTACTTTAAATTTCCTTTAAGATTTAGCTGTATAATATGCTTTAGGCTTTATGCTTTATTGAAATAGCTAAGTTCGCTGTCAATGTTTTATGGCAATATTATAATAATATTCATATTTTATAATTAGTTAGCCAAATTTCAATTACTTTTCTAATAAGGCCATCACAATAAAAGATCAATAAGATGCGTAGGCTAAGATGACGTGAATGTTAGATACTTTAAACTAGAATTTATTTAGTAATTGTTGCTGTAATGATCGACATTTGTACATGGTTTACAGTATTGTACAGCTGTAGCAAGTATGTGTCGGCAAATGTAGGGTAATGTTAAATTCGAGTGCTGATGACTGATGTTAGTTGATACTGTTTGCGACGTGAACTAAGGTCTTATTACCTCCGAGTATCAATTAAATCTATTTTAAGTTTTCTCACAGCCCGGTATTACACTCCCATATATGGTTATGATTTATATAACCAAGTCGCGGCACATAATACCGATATCTCTTTTTGATCTCTGGATATATTTGTCTATCTTTAAATTAGAAATATGGCAGTGTAATACCTGCTTTACTTATTATTCTACAATTATTATATTTCACTTATTTGTAAAGATTTTTTTAACACAACAATAAATATAAATGTGAAATATGTTTTTGTTTTATTCCAGTACAACGACAATTCAGTAGGTCAGAAAATTAAAAAACGATCAAGTTGTGTATATACAATATATTATTTTAACCAGTAAGAGATTTTAATTTATTACATATATTTTCTATTCTTCTTTTTTGCTCGAAATCAGATATGTTTTCTGTCAGTTTACACAACGATGTAGTATCCATTTCCAGTCTATTTACAATATCTTCAACCTCATTGGCATATAATTTAACTTTTTTAGACACGGGTTCTGCATCACTTTCATTAAAGAATGTATCTATATCAGCAAATTCAAAATTCCCGCTGGTCGTTTTACAAACGCTGTGTGGGGTATTTTCATCATTGTGAGAACAAATATGACTGTATTTAAAATCTTTTGTAGATAATAATTGTTGTTTAAGACTATAATATTCATGATTTTTCGATGTTTGATGCTCTACAAAATAGCTCCAAATCTCTGCTATTGAATGGTTTTCGCTAATAATTAACGCCATAATTTCTTCCATATTTGGATGGTGATTATATTTACTTAATATTCTAAGTAATTTATTTCTCACATTTGCATTAGTATCTTGAAATAAATATTTAAATATTTCAACCAATAGACAGTCTATATTATGTTTGTGCTCGTCTTGTACAATATTATTAGTCAATATACATGATAATTCACTTAACAATAATTTTATTTCCGTGTATCCATTTTGACAGATACATGCAACTACATGGAGTATCTGGAAAATAAAATAATGCATTAAAGAAAAATTATTTATGAGATTAAAATGTGTTCAGCTGTTTATGTATAGTATAATGGGAAACAGTATTGAAGTCCAATAGTAGGTATATAGGATACTTCTTATCTTTATTAATATAGGTAATGTCGCCGGATTCAAGGTAGAAAAACTAGTTTTAGCTGTAGTCAGTATTGTCTCTATTACAAGAAGTAAGTCTACTAAAATAATTAAGTAACAAACCATGCAGGACACATTTAAATTAAAAATAATAAAATATATTTTATTATTTTTATCTTATTAAAAGACAGACAGTTTGACATTGTTTTGAGATATGATCTTAATTAAGGGTATCTATAATAATATCTTAAATAATGTGTATATTTTAATTTACATTAATAATATTTACCATCATTACATCTTGACTATCAAGTATCAAAGACTTTACAGATATTGTTAGAAGTGTCAATGCTTCAATATATTTCAGATACCAAATTCTACTATTATCTAGATCTTTTAAAAAAATAACATTATGGTTCGGACACCCTTTTGCCCATGAATTGAGAATATAGTCTTTCATTGAAACATCAGTTATTCCTGAACCAGTAGCTGTAAGTTTCATTAATTGTGCCTGAAAATTTATAAATATTTTAATAAGAAGTAATATGGCATTTAATATTTGATTTCATTGTATATATTCGTAGGGCGAAATAGATTAATTAGAAGAATTATAAATCTTACCAAAGTAAAGATTTCAGCTTGAGTCTGCACACACCCTTCAAACAGTACATCCAATAGCAGCTTACATTTATCTGTTACTTCCTCTAGGGTCCTGTATTGTAAATCTACAGGTAAATTCTCAATCCTAAGAGTAGTCCATAATGAAAGATTTGTTTTGTCTAATATTGGACTAAATTGTGTATATAGTTTTAATTTGTCATCATTAGACATTGTTTCAAATAATCTACCGATTATGTAACTAAGATGAACTTGTTGTGGCGTGTTCGGAAATAATACATTACTCTCTAGTTTTTGGTAGACTCGACATAATACTACTACGTCATCCAGTTGATGGTTGTGAATTCTGAAAATTTACAATAATTCATAAATTTTATATTAATTACTATTAGATTTTATTACAATTCAATGGATAATTATCCATAACACAAAACCATCGAACGAAGCTTTACAAAATCATCGAACAGTTGTAAGTTCGTGGGTGGTATGTAATCAGTAATCACTATACTTTCTCATAGTTATTTGTATTAACTTTTTCAAATGTTGTTTTTTTTGTATCTATTTATTTGTATATTTTTTGTAATGTTATTGTAACAATATTACTTTTTACGGTCTACAGACAGACAGAAATGGATTCGTTTCGAGACTTGAAAGTAACAATTCGTCCAAATCTTATACTATTAAGGTATAAATACATCATATGATCCCATAGATCTCATATTACAACTGTAATTTGACATTAAAAATGTATACTTAATAGATTATGTAAGTTGTACTCGCCTAGATATTAAAAACCATATATTTGATGCAAAAAGTGAGCAATAACAGTCTGTACTAAGCAGTATATTATACATATATCTCTTAACAAAATTTGTATCTTCCTGATTTAGAGTCATCATAAATGCTGTTGTGTGAGTAAGAAGGTATTCATACAATCCATATGTAAGCTGCCGATTATTACAATTATTTACTCTTTCAAATTTTAGACCTATGTTGAACCAAACATGACCTGGGAAATGTTAATTCAAATATTAAAATAGAATTTATCGACTCTCTAACATATACAAAAATAATTAAATAAAAAAAACAAACAATTTATACACATTACGACACAGAGTCAATGTGGACCACACCTTAGCATAATGTTGAAGACATTGTTTTCAGAGCTAATTTTCATTTAGATTAGATTTAAATTTCTTAATACATATATTAATAATTTATATTTCTTAATACATATGTACTATTTATTTCAAAGAATACATATTAAGAATTATAATAAAATGTCAACAATCCTGGGATATTCTTGAATAATACTTCCTAGTAATAATGTGGTATATAGACATGGAGTATGAGTAGCTACATCATATGTTTAAAACCGAGTGAATAATGACAAAGTTACACTATAATAAATTACAGTAAATAAACATTAAAATTAAAAAGGATTGTAGAAGGTATTGACTATCTTCAATGAGGACAAGACGCCAAAAGGTTCTATGTGAATAAATGGTTGACAACAAATTTTCTTCATAACTCAAAAATTACTTACACTGCGATACCACATCGAAAACACGTATAAGTAGTTGGTATTTAGAAAAGGCATATTTCTGAGGGTTTTCCAGAAAAATCTTCATAATTGCTATTAGGAGAATTATAAACCCCAGTAGTTTGTCATCCTCTTTTATTATATTTACATTATAATGAAATATACACTGAAAAAATAATTATTATAAATAATTACTAAAGTCCCAAACTAAGTAGAGGTTGTGTTATCACTAAGATTACCAGATGATAGATAGAAATACTTAAATATATTATTTTCAATACATTTTGAACAATCATATGAAATAATTATAACTAGGTATAATATATATATATTATATTTTACATACATTCATAAATACTTCATCTAATAGGATTTCTTTCAGCAAGCTGTCTGCTGGATTTAATACATTACTTCTGAATAAATGTGAAAATTGTAGTGACTTTGTTGCCATTAATTCCAAATAAGACTCAGTGTGTCTGAAAAAATAAAATATATTTTAAGTTTTATAACACTCTGTAATTTTAGTTCCCTCTCTAAGATATTAAACCATTTTTATTTCCATGATTTTATACATAAATTATTATCTATTACAGTGATAAACAAACATGATGTTCTTTTGTAGTCTTTCTATAGTTGTAGTTTTATTTCTGTAAAATTCACAAATGACAATATATATATGTACAATATATATATATATATGACATTATGACTACTTACAAGTAAATATAAACCATCAGGTCAACAATGTGATCGCATTCTTTAAATGTGGCATACTTGAAAATATTTGTAACTTTTAATAATATTTTAATTGTGAAACTTGCCACTTTCAAGGATCTTACAATAACTTTCTCATCTTGTTCAATCTGTAATCAAATAAAATGTGTGCAAAATGAAGAAACTCTAGCAATAGTGTAAAAACCAATATTAATGTATAATAAATGTACTAACATCTATTGCAGTACTCATATTATTTGTGGCCATTGCACAAAGTATTTTTGTACAATCATTGTAAATATTTTTATCCATAAGATTATTGGAATACTTTTCACATACTACTATAAAACCTTTCCATTGCTCTGCCATAGTTTTCACATCCAAACTCTGCACAATATTTCCTATCTCCAAATTCATATGTAATGCTGTAATTTAAAAAGCTATGTAATAAAAATTATTTATATAAGTACCTAAATCCTTAGATTTATTGACTAAGAGCAATAAGTGATTTTATGATTTTATTTTATTTAGTCATATATATATATTTAATTCATCATCATCATCATCATCGCAGCCTGGAAGATATATATATATATATTTAATTGGTCCACCTTAAGTAAATAAATAAAATAAAATAAAATAAAATATTGTATTAATGATTTTTCCCTACCATCAAGTTCAGTATACAGATTCAATGGAGAAGAAGTGGCAAGAAACTCATCTGAATTTATATATATTGTGTTACTTGTGTGGGTACTTATATAGGTTTCTATGTATAACATTAAATGAAAATCCCATGCAAAAAATAAAAATAGTTCATATTCCAATTATCAGTATAATAAAACCATAGGAGATACCTTCAAGCAGTATATCCTGTTCTTCTGCTTCATTCAAATTAAATACAAAGTGTTTTTCTAATATCATCAAATAGGTGAGCTGAAGTTCATGACAGGCACGGAATAAGTCTTTTAATTCTGTTTCTACATTAACCAAATTTCTTCCATAGATAGATTCACTGAAAATATTTTTTTTAATGTAAGTAATGGTGCAACTAAATAGGTGAGAAACAGAGAAAAACATGATCCGATGGCATCAAAGAAATAGCAGGATAAAATTGAATGAGTGTGTGAGAGAAAACCATACCATATGTAAAGCAACCAAATTAATTAAACTTGGAATTATTAGGAAAAATAAAGCTTAAATAATGAATTAAATGTTATAAATGGCTGTGCTGACCATTGGATGAGCATAAAATCAGGTTGGTTCACCACAAATTAATGATGACAGCTTCTAGAGTGGACTGGTCAAACTGGCATGGTACATTACTAACAATGCAACCACTGATTCCCATATTAACCATCCCTTTACCTTGACCATGACGTTTTAGGTCCTTATATTATTATGTAAGCACCTACATATTATTATGTAAACTAGGCATTTATATGCAAGACAGAAAAAATAAAAATAACTGGCAGCTTATTTCGTCATGGCATCACATTACCATTTACCTGTAGCCATGGGATTTTTGAAGTGATGAATAAGAACTCATCTCTATGCATAGAGTTAGTTCTGTTAAAAAAGTTTCAGACTTAAAAATTACTATAAAATTTAACTTGCTGCTATTATTTCATATTTAAATGTAGATTTGTAAAAGTTTTTAGAAACAATAAATATCTATGATGTGATGAAAGACATGTATGTATCTCATAATAATTATGGCTAAGGATTTATTTTTACAATCTAATTTCATTTAAAACTGACTGTAGTAATAATTATAAAGTGCTTAATAACCTAAGAATAATATTTTCATTATGATAAATTTGTGTTCAATTAGTTATATACAGTAAATTATTTTTATTAAAAAAAAATGTATTGATAGACTTACCTATCTTTACAATGCATGAAAACATTTAATAGAATATGTCCAGTGGCAGTCGGAAATATTTTCACAGAACAACAGGACATTGATACAGAATCAACAACTTTCTTCAAAAATTTGGAAAGCATCTGTATTATCCATGCAGCATTACTTATGTAATCAATCAACTTACTTATTCTTACATTTGGATCCAAAAGTAAGTCTACAGCCATATCAAAAGTCTGAAAAATTTTAAAGTTCAATGTTGATATTAAGAATATCTTTTAATATTTCTTATTTAATTAACTTTGCAAGACTGACCTGAGTGATACACATTACACAGTCTTCCAAAAGAGATGTTAAATGTTTATAAAATGTTGAATTCCTTTCGTCCTTTTGAATATTATCAGCCAAAGCCGCTTTTGTATTTGTTACAAGGGATTCATAAGTTACCAAATCCATTGGTTTCTTTAGGGTTAATACAGCTAGTATTTAATTATGATACCTGGTAAATAAGTAAGGTATTGATATTACCTTAATTTATCAGTATACATATAAAATAATTTGTCTAAAGAAGTACGGAGAAAATTATACAATATACAAAGATCAAATAGAACTTAATACAACAACTGTTTACGAGTTATTAATTTGAGACAGTAATCCAATGATCATAATTCACTGAACATTATTAGCAGATATGATATAAAACAAACTGTACTGTGTGTAAAATAAAATAATAATATTAAAAATATAATGCTGTTATTCAAGTTTCTGCAAATCCCGCGAAATTGTTTTTTGCCATCAGTCAGTCAGGTATGGTCACGTACGATATGACTGACAACTTGTCAGTGAAGGATCCCGCGTTAACATACAGGAAATATTAAAAAATTCAACAACATTTTTTGAACTGTACGACTACATAATTTCAACAATTCAAGACAATTTCAATTCAATTCAGACAATTAAAAATATATATAAGACTATCAAGGAAATAAAAAATATGAAGACATGGCTGTATGGGCACTGTTCCCTTAGCCTTTCCATTAGAGGATAAACAGAACAAAAAAAAAGGAGTTAGAGTAATTTTTGTTCATTGCCAAATAAAATGAAATAAAAAATTTTTGTTCATAAATTACATAGTATTTTTTTTTTTATAAAAACTGTTACAAATATAAATACAAAAAATTACCCATATACGTTACCACTTCTTAAGTCTACATTAATTTTATTACTGTTACTGCCACCCGAGATTTGCCCCTGGAGTTAATGCTGGGGCAAAAGAGTTTGCTCCAAGGTCCCAACCTTCACCTCCTTATTGTGAGGATATATCTATATAGTGTGTCTTTTTTTTTTACATAATCTTACCTAATTTCTTTAAATAACATTTGAGGCAATATGAAATAATTTCACACACTTACACATTGATATTTTGAAATGCTCCCGTATGAATATTAAAAACTTTTTAATTATTCATAAATAAAAAAAAACATAATACATTATATAAAAACAATTTATGCTTAAACGAACAACTAAAAATGTTTTCCTCGGTCTCTTAATTTTTAATTAATATGCCTTCCAGCTCTAGGTCACAGGTCATGCTTAAAGTCTTATTACAAAATAGCTGTCAATGTCAAATATGTCAATGTCATATTCATATGTTTGTTTTATATACACACGTGCCCTTCACACCACACCGGTGAAAATAAAAAACTGCTATATTATTTTACTACTGTGCAAAAATAAAATAATGCTGTAAGCTACATAAAACTTAAAATGGCTTCAAATATTTTAGGTTCTCTAAAGTCAATATACTCCGAAACAATTAACAATGAGTTACAAAAAACATGTCAACATCTTATGGTTCGTATTTATTAAAACTTTGTTTTTATTTTACCATACGGTGGAATCTATTTTCAATCTTATTATTTAACAGTAGTTGTAAATCTGTCTCATTCATTTTTTTAGTTTATCCAAATTCGATATTTCTCTAAAACTTTTGGCGCTTTCACGTTTTAAACTACTTGTTTGTGTATTTATTACTATTTGTTAAATTATTATAACATTATAACATTAGAAATTATATTCAGAGACACATTTGAAATTTTATTTTAATCACTAACTGTATTTTTGGCCAGTATTCTAGGTATTAAAATTTTATTTTTAAGTAAATTTTGTTGATAATTGTGTCAATGGTTATAAATAATTTGCAACCAGCCGTTAACTGCAACTACCTTAGTTTTTGTTGAGAAAATAAAAAGTCTATGACTGCCCTAGTGATACAACCTTCATATTAAATTTCATTACAATACAATGAACTGTTTAGTCTTAAAAATTTAGGTTGGGAAACAGACAGACAAAAAATAGTGTTATTTTAAGCTTTTTTACATTTTCAATGACTTCAAATGATGATGATGATGCCCCAAAATTGTTTAGAAATGAAATTATATTGTTATTTTTAATTACAGAAATCACTTGAAGAGAATTCAATGGTATTACAAAATGCTATTCAAAAGTTATCTGAACATATATTAAAAATTGAGAATGCTTTACTTTTTAAGAAGTATTTGTCAAACATATTATTGGCATTAGTCTCTGCTAGGATACCATTGAAGCCCGTTTTCTCCGCCTCCAACTATGATACTTGTAGTGATGAGGAGAAGACTAGTCATTTGGAGTATTCTATTATCTTGGCAGTACTCAGTGATCACCCTGATATCTTGCAGTAAGTTATATAATTATTTTATTGAAATATGTAATATTGATATTGTACTCAATAATATTTTAATTGTCAATTTTGGGTATTAATTAATATAAATAAATGTTACTATGCTGTATCTTTGAGTGAGTAGAAATGTTATCTTTAGCAATTAGTGATTGCTATTTATTCTCCCTAAGGGGCCATCCATTAATCACATGATCTTTTTTAAGCGGTTTTTAACCCCCCCTCCCCCTCCCTCAACCAACATCACATGTATTTTAATACCTTATGTTTATTTATTGTATTGAAATAAAAATAAGTTTAAATTTGTATTCTATACCTTGAAACCAGTAAGTCTAATGCATTATAACTGTAGTATTAACTGCTGTACTAAGTCCTGTACTTACCTCTACAGTCTTTCTAGCAGTTTAGCAGACAGCCATACTTCAGATGGTTGTGAGTTTGATTCCTCGCATGGTACAAACCTATATATTCATGAGTATGATTGTTTGTATTGGTCTGGGTGTTTTCTATGAATTTTAAGTATATATGTATTTCAGTATTTATTTATATATATATATATATATATATATTCTTTATTGCACTTCTAAATACAGTACTAAACTTAAATATATACAGAGTGAGCTATATATTAGTCCTATCCTAGTATCCATGAAGCTTTGTATAGCTTGGAACTAAATGGTGCTATGTGGACTGTCCAGGGTTGTTATTATTATTATTACTTACAGATATGCTCTAAAATATTTTGAAATCAATGCAGTGCCACCATATATGGTATTCATTCATCATGAGGAGTCATATAATGTTGCTCCTAAAAAGCGTAGACTGCAAGACTGTCGACACAAGGTTACAGATAAACAAATAGTGACATGCTGTTATACTCTCCTCTCCAAATTGCCTAATGAACTATCTTCAAAATGGGATTGGACCAAGTTTGTAACAAATTTTAGTAGTCATGAGAATCCAGAAATTAGATGGTATGTTCTTCTTCAATTTAAATGCATGCACTAATGTAGTAATAATAAGAAATGAAATGTTTGCTATTTTTTTCTATATTGTATCTCAAGCTTCTGTGATTAAAGACCACAATTGTACTAATTTTATGATGAAAAGATTATTGTGTAATAATTTTTTCATCTACTGCTCATGGTCATAAAAGCAAAATATTTCATATCTGTTTAGGAATATTTATTTAGTGGTTTGCTTTAAGTAATGTTTTGCTCAAATAATGAATTTATTTACTGAATAATTAGAATATATTTTTTAATTTAAATACTTTAATGCTTATTATTGTGGATTAAGTACTTAGTTAAATCTAACATTTAATTATATTAAAATGTTAAATTGGATATTTTTTTCAATAAATACTTCAGAATATTTTTTTAATTATTATTTGAAACCAGCAGAGTTATAGTTTGTAGTAACAATAACGTATATTAAAACTAATTATGGGTTTAAAAAGAACTAAAGCTATACCTTTTGTAATATAATTTTCTTGACAAATTGTTATAGTAATAAGAGACTGGGTACATGTCTACATAATGTACATAAGTCATATATTTACTAATACAGATAAAACACTCCAATCGTCTTCTCTTTCATATGTATATATATTCTGTTCAAATAAGTTCAGTGAGTATTAAAATTGCTATTTTATAGTTTACTAGCTACCCACCCCGGCTTCGCACGGGCGTACATGTATTATAGATATAAACCTTCCTCTTGAATAACTCTATCTATAAAAAAAACACTTCAAAATCTGTTGCATAGTTTTAAAGATTAAAGCATACATGGGGACAGATAGACATCAACAGGGACTTTATTTTATACTATGTAATGATAACATTTATTAATTTTATTACCCAAAATTGTTTTCAACATTACAGGATGGTGAAAGAATGTATGGTGATTCTTACAAACATGACAGAAGCTCAAGCAAAGACTCTATCCAAAAACTTGGCTTTGTCTGAGGAACGAAATCTACTATACACACCTGTTAAGGAATATTCAGTACAACCTGTAGAAGAAATTGTTACTGATGTGAATCTGAATTCAAACAGCGTTGTTAACATTGATGGTATTATGTTACCTCTCTATAATGAAGACAATGTGTCAGGTGACCATCTTGTCTTGGTTAAATCTACCATCAATAACTTGAGAAGTTCAGCACTAGCTGTTGCTTCAGGTAATATTATGTGTCACTTAACAAGAATCTCTTTACAAACAAAATTATTTAATAATAAAATCAAATCAGTATTTTACAATTGTAACAAAATATGTCAGTATAAAAATCAACTTCTCATCCCTTTCAACTAAATATATCGTAATCATATGAGACAAAAAAAAATTATAATTATGTGGCACTTTCTACACAATTAGGTGTTAATAAATAAAACAGCATAAACTATAAACTAACCTATTCTTTTTTGTGTAATTTAAAATTGATTGCTATTTCTTGTTATTGAAATATATGTTTTATATGTTTCAATAAAACAAATTTCCCTCCAATGTTTTATAATATAAAATTTTATTTCATTAGGTAAAGCACTTTGTCTAATGGGTCCAGTAGGATCAGGCAAAACTTCCTTAGTTGAACATTTGGCGACCATCACTGGCCGAAAAGGGATTGCCTTCAAGAAGGTACAGTTAGGTGATCAGACTGACTCCCGAATGCTGCTTGGATCTCATCAGTGCACTGATATACCTGGTGAATTCATATGGAGACCTGGTGTTCTAACAGAGGTATGAATTAATGTTGCCATTAATCATCATTGCCTTGCCTTTATCCCATTATTTGGGGTCGGCGCAGTATGTCATTCTCTTCCACTGCTCTCTATCAGTCGTCATATCTAAACATACTCTTCTTTTATTCATATCATCTTTCACACAATCCATCCATCTTTTCTTAGGGCGTCCCCTCCCTTTACATCCATCCACATTCATATTATACACTTTCCATAAGACATGGTCCTCATTCCTCCGCATAACATGCCCATACCAGCTCAATCTGTTACCTCGCAACTTTTCTATAACCGGCGCAACTTTCAAACTTCCTCGTATATACTCATTCCTTATTCTGTCATTCCTGGTATTGGTAACCCCACACATCCATCTTAACATTCGCATTTCTGCCACATGCACACGCCTTTCGTCCATCCCCTTTACGGCCCAACATTCAGATCCATACAAAATGACAGGTCTTCTGATAGATTTATAAACATTACCCTTTAGTTTCAAGGGCATTCGGGGGTCGCATATCGTTCCCGAGACCTGTCGCCATTTCATCCATCCCGCACTAATTCTGTGCCTTACATCGCGGTCTATGTCGGCATTGTTCTGAATAACTGAACCGAGGTACCGAAAATCGGAGCAGACCGGAAGCATTACACCGTTTAGATAGATAGGCTTGAAACTGGAGAGACCGCCGAAATCGCAGAATAGGTATTCAGTTTTAGTTCTGCTGATCTTCAAGCCAACACTCTCCAGTTTTTCTTGCCATCTATCTAGTCTACTCTGGACCTCGATTCCATCCTCACCAACAAGCACAATATCGTCGGCAAACAGCATACACCAGGGTACCTCGTCCTGAATGTCCGATGTCAGAGCATCCATTACAATGAGGAAGAGGTAAGGGCTTAGAGCCGAACCCTGGTGTAAGCCTACCGCCACACTGAATTTATCGGAGGCACCTACCGCCGATCGGACGTATGTGTTAGACCGAATGTACATGGCACGTATCAGATCTACATACTTCCCTGGTACACCTTTCTTCTTTAGGGCCCACCACAAAACTAGACGGGGAATTCGGTCGTATGCCTTTTCGAGATCGACAAATACCATATGCAAATTTTTATTTACACTCCGGTATTTTTCGCACAGCTGGCGTAGTGCAAAAATGGCATCCGTGGTACCTCGACCAGGCATAAAACCGAATTGATTTTGTGAAATATCACACTCCTCTCGCAAGCGTCTCTCTATCATTTTCTCCCACACTTTCATAGTATGTGACATAAGCTTTATTCCTCGATAATTGCTGCAGTCTTGAACATCACCCTTATTCTTGAAGATAGGCACCAATATGCTTTGGCACCATTCTTCAGGAATAGTTTCTTCATGCAACAACTTATTGAAGAATAAAGTGAGCCACTTACATCCATTTTCACCCAATAACTTCCATACTTCCACTGGTATTCCATCTGGTCCTACGGCTTTACTGCTTTTCATACTTCGCACAGCTTGTTTCACTTCTTCCATTCTTACTTCTCTGACTAAACCCACATTCACTCTTTCCTCTCCTATCGATTTATTCCATGAATTTTCTTCATTCATTAAGTTTTCAAAGTAATTTTTCCATCGATCTTTTATATCATCTTCTTTCATTAGAACCTTTCCTTTATCATCTTTTATACATTTTACATATACTCCATCGTTTGTACTCTTATCTCTCATTTTTGCTAGTCGGAAGAGCTGCTTTTGGCCTTCGGAAGTATCTAATGAGGCGTAGAGTTTATCTTGGAATTCAGCTCTTGCCGTTGCAACAGCTTTCTTTGCCCTCTTTTTGCATCCTAAATACACTTCCTTTTTTTCGTCTTTTGTATTATCATTCTCTTTACAGCTCTTTTGCCATTCTTTAAACGCTCTTTTCTTCTCTTTCAGTATTTGTTGCACACTTTCATTCCACCACCAAGTATCTTTCTCTATCATTCTCGTCCCTTTTGTTTCGCCAACAATATGTTTTGCTATACCTCTCATTCCATTCGCTATTACATTCCAACATTCGTTAACAGATTTTCCTTCCATATTATTCATTTCTATCATCATATCATTCACTTGTTCTCTAAATTTCATTGCATTCTCATCCCTCTCGAGCATGTGCCATCTTATTTTTGGGGGCGGTCGGTTTTTGTTTTTATTATACTGAACCCTAATTTTTGTATCAAGTACTAGTAGTCTATGTTGTGATATCAGATCCTCACCCGGTAGGACCTTACAGTCTCTGACACAATTGATTTTATTTCTCCTGACTAAGAAATAATCAATCTGTGTCTTATGGTGTCCACTTGTGTAGGTAATTAAATGATCCTGTTTCATTTTAAACCATGTATTGGTGATGGCCAAGTCAAAAGCGGAAGCTGCCTCTAGTAATGCCTCTCCTTCGTGGTTGCGATTTCCAAATCCCCAATTTCCATGCACTCTCTTATAATCCTCATTCAATCTTCCCACATGCCCATTAAAGTCACCCCCTATATAAATATCTTCTGTACTGGCAATGTCCATCATTACAGTATCGAATTCCTCCCAAAACTTTTCTTTCATTCTATCGTCACAACCGGCCTGAGGAGCATATACACTAACCACATTAACGATTATGTTCTGTAACATTATTTTTATTGCTATTACTCTATCACTCACTCTTTTTACATTCATAACACTTTGCTTTAAATTACTATCTAACACAATTCCGACTCCGTTTCTTTTTCCATCACTTCCACAGTAATAAAACTTATATCCTTCACCTATTTCTCTAGCTTTTGACCCTTTCCATTTAGTTTCCTGTAAACATGCCACATTTATTCGTCTTCTTTTTAGTACATCCGCTAGTTCTCTTCCTCTTCCAGTCATCGTACCTACATTCCAACTTGCATACCTTAGTCTCACATCCTGAGTTTCCCGAATTCGCTTCTTACGTCGCATCCATTGTGTTGTGTAATATATATGCTCTTCTTCTATGAATATTATTTCTACTAGCGAGAGAATACTATTATTATGATATCTGTACAGTATTTGAATGCTCCAAGCTGTGTCCATATATTTTTTACGTCTTTAAATATATTAATGCCAAGGTTTATATCTATATTTAGACTTTTATGTTTGGAGTAAATAATTACATTAATTTGGGAAAAATAGCTATTTATCTAAAAGGCTTACTCATTGTAACAATCTGTATATATTATTTATATATATATTTTATTATCATACTTTATATACTATATATGTAAATAATTATAAAGAGTTTTCTTCACATTTCATTTCATAAATGTTTCTTTAGGCTGTTCAAAATGGCCATTGGTTGCTATTGGAAGATATCGATTGTGCCGCACTGGACGTGGCGTCAACACTGAGTTCCCTGCTGGAAAGGAATGCATTATGTGTCCCAGGCTACCGGGATTCCTTACCTGTCACACCTGGATTCCAACTGTTTGTTACACAGAGGTAAGAAACGTTATAAATTGCAATGTTTGCATTGCATTACATTGTTAATATTAAAAATAAGTTTTTTCGTCCCTCGCCATACCTCGCCCACACTTGGCTTTGAGAAAAAAAGGGATAATAATTAAATCAGGACAATTCTTCCCAAGCTAAGCAGAGATGGGACTGTGGGTACTACTAAAGAACATAAATGCATACATATTATACATAGAAAACCATCCTACACATGAATATGAATACCAATGCTACTGAGCGTGTATGTACCGTGCGAGGAATCGACTCTGCGACCATCGGAAGTAAGGCGGTGTACTAAAAGCGAGACCACCAAGGCCATTAATATAATGTATATGTTAATATAATTTTATTTGTAAAATACACTATATAATAAACTTTTTCTCAAAAATGTGAATCTAATATGTAATTGTTTATTTTATAATTTTTAGGACTTTAGTCACAAATTATGGCTTTCAAAAGAAAATGTCCAATTCAAGCGCACTCTTGCAGAAGCATTTAACTCAAATAAATGTAGAACCTCTATCAAGGTCTGAGCTTGGTGACATAATACAAACACTTTATGCGCCCCTCTCCTCCATAACGCCTAGAATGATTGAAGTCTTCATGATGTTTTCTGTTGGTAATCATGATACTTCTTTGCAAACCACTGAAAATATCATATCTGGTAAAGAAACCAATATTAACATACTAAAAGGTTCGAGGCTCATATCTACAAGAGATCTTATAAAATGGTGCACAAGATCAGTCATAGGTTTTAATGTTTCAAGTCCAGACTCCGCTCTGAAAGTTCTTCAAAATGCTTTGGATATATTTACCTGTTCAGTATCTGCACCAGAACATAGACTTCAGTTAGCTAAAAAGATTGGCACCTGCTTAGGAGTTGTGGAAACTAAAACGGAATTTTATTGCAAACATTATAAGCCTAATGTATCTTTGTACCCCAGTTTGTTGGAAGTAGGAAGAGCCAAGATGCCCCGACTAGAAAAGACTTTAGAATCTGTAGACTTTGACAACAAACAAGTTGTATTTTCTTTTACCCGCCAAACAGCATGTTTGCTGGAAAAGATTATGTGTTGTGTAACGTCAAATGAGCCAGTACTATTAGTTGGCGAGACTGGAACTGGTAAAACATCTTCCGTCCAATATTTGGCTAGGCAAACTGGCCATAAACTAGTCGTCATTAACATGAATCAACAATCAGACTCTGCCGATTTACTGGGTGGATATAAACCAGTTGACTTGAAATATGTTATCAGACCAATCAAGAATGAATTTGAAGGTTTATTCCGAAGTTTTTATAATATTGAAAAGAATAAAAAGTTTCTTGGACACATCAATACTTGCTGTGAAACTGAAAACTGGACTGCGCTTTTGACTTTAATGAAACAGAGCTTCAAAGCAGCTGTTACAAGATTGACAATTGATAAGAAAGACCAAAAATTAAAAAAATGGATAGTTTTTGGTCAAAAACTTTCAAAATTAGAACAACAAATTAAAACAGCATCAAGGTTAACATTTGCATTCATTGAAGGATCTCTCGTGAAAGCCATGCAAGAAGGTCATTGGGTGTTACTAGATGAAATTAATTTGGCCTCTGCAGAGATTTTAGAATGTCTCGCAGGTTTACTAGAAGATAAAAATGAAAGCATTGATTTATTAGAAAAGGGAGATAAAGTTCCCATAAAAAGGCATGACGACTTTACATTGTTTGCTTGCATGAATCCTGCTACAGATGTTGGCAAAAAGGACTTGCCAATTGGCCTAAGAAATCGGTTTACAGAGTTTTTTGTGGATGAATTGACTGAAAAAAATGACCTGATGCTACTCATTGGTGATTACTTGTATCATATGAATCTTAGTGGCGCAATCTTGGATTCTGTTTGTAGTTTCTATGCTAACGTGAGAAAAGAGGCAAAATTGAACCTGGTAGATGGTGCAGGTATGTATGTATTAATGTTGAGATCTAATTTTCAATAAAGATATATTCATCTCATCATATATTTTTAATTGTAATAGTTGTTGAATACATATAATTGCTTGCCTGTTTATTTCTGAAACAAGAATCTAATTTGTTGCAATTGTTATTTCAGGGAATGCCCCTCACTATTCTCTAAGAACACTCTGCAGAGCTTTGACAGCTGCAGCTAAAGCAAAATGTGGCACAGTTGCTAGATCACTGTATGAATCATTCTGTTTGTCTTTCCTCACCCAACTGGATAGTGCGTCACATCCTATTGTTGAAGCAATGATTGCCAAGTATGCATATTTTATTTAAATCGTTATTTTTATGTTAATTCATTTACATACGTTCAATGTTATATGTTAGTCTAATAATTTCGTAATGCTGAAATTTGTTCATTATTATATACAGCTTGTAAGAAATCATTTTAGAATAGTACTATTTTATACTCTATTTGAAAATATGTTTCATTTTACAGAGCAGTGATCGGGAAGAAAACTGTTAAATCGGTTCTTAATCAACTAATCCCTGAGCCACAAATTTTGGGGCAAAATTTTCTACTATTCGAAGGGCATTGGATCCCACAGGGAAAATTAGAGATAACAATACCAGAGGGGTATATACTCACTCCAACAGTTAGGAAAAATCTTCGAGATATTGCGCGAATTATATCACTTGGTCGTCTACCGATACTTTTGCAAGGAGACACTTCTGTTGGTAAAACTTCATTGATTACTTACATTGCAAAAGCTTCTGGTAACTATTGTGTGCGAATAAATAATCACGAACACACAGACTTACAAGAATATATAGGTTCATATGCCTCTGATGCCAATGGAAAACTTGTCTTCCAAGAGGGAATCCTGGTTGAAGCAATGACGAAAGGACATTGGATCATTCTAGATGAACTAAATTTAGCTCCAAGTGATGTTCTCGAAGCCCTCAATCGAGTATTAGATGACAATCGAGAGCTGTTCATTCCAGAAACACAGCAAGTTATCAAAGCTGATCCCAACTTTATGCTGTTTGCCACTCAAAATCCGCCTGGTTTGTATGGAGGTCGTAAAATGTTATCAAGGGCTTTCAGAAATAGATTTGTGGAATTACATTTTGATGAAATACCCCGAAAGGAATTGGAAATAATATTACATCAGAGATGTCATGTTCCTCCTACGTATAGTAAGAAAATGATCGCAGTAATGGCCGAGCTGCAAGTGAGAAGACGTGGTTCCGCCGCTGTTCAAGGTAAAGATGGATTTATTACCTTGAGAGATTTATTTAGATGGGGACAAAGATATAAACATGCTTCAAAAAACACACTCACAGATGAAAAATTCTATGATTGGGATCAACACATAGCTGATGAAGGATATCTTATACTAGCAGGCAAAGTTAGACAAACTGATGAAAGAACTATAATTGAAGAAGTTATAGAAAAGCATTTAAAAAGGAAAGTCAGTCCTGTTAACTTATTCAGCCTTCACCAGGCTACATCGCCCGTGACTAAATCTATTCTAGAAACAATTCTTAATAATCAATTGGAAGAATTTTCTCATGTTGTTTGGACCTATAATATGCGAAGGTTGGCTATTTTAATTGCAAAAGCTTTTGCTTTTGATGAACCTGTACTACTGGTTGGAGAAACTGGTTGTGGAAAGACTACAATTTGCCAAATTCTCGCTACTCTTACCAAGTGTAAACTGCTGTCTGTGAATTGTCATATGCACACAGAGAGTTCTGACTTCTTAGGCGGTCTAAGACCTGTGCGATATTATAAAAATGATGGAAGACTATTTGAATGGGTTGATGGACCTTTAATAAAGGCAATGGAACAAGGTGACATGTTTTTAGCAGACGAAATATCTTTAGCTGACGATAGTGTATTAGAAAGATTAAATTCGTTACTTGAGCCAGAAAGACAGTTAGTATTATCTGAAAGAGCAATGGAAGCTAATTCTGATATTGTAGTTATAACAGCACATAAAAATTTCCATATAATCGGCACTATGAATCCAGGAGGGGATTTTGGTAAAAAAGAACTGTCACCTGCTCTTCGTAATCGATTTACAGAAATATGGTGTGATAGTGTATCATCTCGAGATGATTTGACGGCTGTATTAGAAAAAAGCGTCAATAGAGGAATTTCGTTAGGAAATCAAGAAGATGGGAGCTCTGGTATTGGCAGCTCTATTTTAGATTTTGTTGCTTGGCTAAGAGATTCTGAGGTAACGAACAAATTCCCGTTCAGTATTCGGGATTTACTGTCTTGGGTACATTTCATAAATGCTACAGTAGCAAAAGGACTTCTAGATGCTCCAGAAGCCTACGTTCATGGTGCATGTATGACATTTTTAGACTGCTTTGGAACAACTTTAACTGGTCACATTGATTCAGAAACTTTAATAGTGTTACGTAAAACAGCTATTAATTTTCTACTAAATCAAATTAAATCTATCGGAAATGAGTATTTACAGAATTTAAGAGAAATGTTGAGCAACAAACAGACGGCTTTTACCGCAGAATCTGAGGTTACGAAATTTGGTATACAACCATTTTACATTGAAGTAGGACCACATATGGATATATCTGAGGACCAAAAATTTACATTCACTGCACCGACTACAGGTTCCAATACATTACGATTATTAAGGGGATTACAATTGAATAAAGCAATACTTTTAGAAGGAAATCCTGGAGTCGGTAAGACAAGTTTGGTCACGGCTCTGGCTAAATCTTCAGGGCATAAAGTGGTCCGTATCAATTTGAGTGACCAAACTGTAAGTATATTGCGATGCATCGTTATAATTTAACATATTATTATCAGAGTTAAATTCGTTATATTATTTAATAATATTGTTTACACTTTCCAGGATATCACAGACTTATTTGGAACAGACTTACCAACAGAAGATGGATCTTTTAGATTTAAAGAGGGTATATTCTTAAATGCTCTTCAGAATGGCGATTGGATACTATTAGACGAATTGAATCTAGCACCTCAACCTGTTTTGGAAGGTCTCAATGCATGCCTAGATCACCGCGGTGAAGTGTATATACCAGAATTAGGTAAAACATTCAAAGTGAAAGCAGAAACAAGATTGTTCGCGTGTCAAAACCCGTTGAAGCAAGGTGGTGCTCGAAGAGGTCTTCCCGTATCATTCCTAAATAGATTCACGCAAGTATACATAGACACATTGACTAAAGATGATCTTATGTATATTATTGAGTCTCAATACCCAATATTACCTTACGAAGTACGACACAGAATAGTGGAGTTTAATTGCAAAGTTGCCCATGAAATTACAGAACTTCAATCTTGGGGGCATAAGGGGGGACCTTGGGAGATGAATTTAAGGGACATACAAAGATGGTGTGATGCACTTATATATGATCAAAAAGATGATAGATTAGTATCCCCCGGTAAGTTTGTCGACATGCTGTATATCAATCGGATGAGGACGTTGGAAGACAAAGAGAAGATGTTGCAAATTTATAATTCTATTTTTTATCCTGAGTACTTCAGAAGTGATACAACTCCACAATTTGAAATTCATGACAATGAAATTGTCATAGGAGATGTTGCAATTAAAAGAAATATAGAAAAGAATCTAAAGAATCGTCACTCTATGGAAACAAATTTCTTAATTTTAAGAAACCAGTTGTCATCTTTAAAAGCTTTAGCACAAAGTGTTAAAATGAACTGGTTATCTATACTCGTCGGTCCTACAGCCACAGGTAAAAGTAGTATCGTACAAATCCTCGCGGACCTAACAGGTAACGACCTTCAAGTTATACCTGTAACTTCAGCTATGGATGTGTCCGATCTCTTAGGAGGGTTTGAACAGGTCGATTTAAATAGGAATCTCGAAAATCTATTTGACAAAATAGAGACACTGACCATACAAATTGTACGAAATATTTGGTTAGCGGAAAACAGTCACCAGTGGAATTCAAATAACTTACTAACTCAATTATATAAATATAAGTCATTGCAAAATTATAGTATAGATAATGAGATCAGTAATGATTTTAATAAGTACAACAAAAAAATACAATTTCTATTTAAACACTGTGAGAAATTAGCTGAATACAATACAGCATTCTATGCGTCTGCTAAACTAAAAGAAATAGTAAATAGTTTAAAAAAATTGGGATCAAAATTGTCTCAAACAACATCCGTAAATGCTGGTGGTAAATTCGAATGGATTGACTCTTTACTTGTAAAAACTATGATCGAAGGATCTTGGCTGCTATTAGATAATGTCAACTTGACATCAGCAGCCGTTTTAGATAGATTAAATGGACTATTAGAACCTAATGGAGTACTTAGTATACCCGAACGTGGTGAAGCGAGCGAAATAAAACCCCACCCAAATTTTAGGATCTTTTTTACAATGGATCCCAAATATGGGGAAATCTCTAGAGCAATGAGAAACAGAGGTATAGAGATATTTTTACTACGATCTGATGAATTGAATGTTAGGATAACAGACACGGTGCCTTATATGGATCTGATTGCATTATTGTCATCTTGTGGTTTACCACAAAATTGTCATGACGTATGTCTCGAATGCCATGAATTAATGGCGTCATTTATTCAGGGTAAGTAATTTTTATTGTTTATTCTAATCAATTGTTTTCTTTCCCTTATTTTTTATCTATCATTTAACGTGAATGTGTAACTGTATGTATAAAAATATGTAGTTTTATATTCGTCAGAACTTCAAAGTATGGTCTAAAGATGTGTTAACTTGCTACTCGAGTAACACGCTTCCCTAGGGTATGCTGCATATAATTATATGAATTGTACGAGCTATATTCTCAATGATTCTTTTAACATTTTTTTATTTTCCATTTTAGGGTTCGAGCGTCCTACATTATCACATTTGCTTCAAGCATCGCATCTAATATCTCAACAACTAATACGGGCCATACCTTTCAAAACAGCTCTTGCAAGCGCCTTTGCTGATGTTTATATAAAACCAAGATGTGGGGGAGACTTTGCATCTAACCTTAATTTGTCACTAGCAGAAACAAAAAATACTATGGTCAAGGCATTGCAAAAAATATTACATCAAGTGGATTGCAGTATTCAAAAGTCAAATAATGTTAACCATACATTGACAGTGAAAGGATTATGTATAAATTCTTCAAAAGAAACTACAAACCAAATTGAGTATGTAGTCTCCCAACAAATTACAGACACCTCATCGCCCAACACTGATCCCTTGTTATGTAGTCTACTTGCCTTATTCACAGCATACCAGAAATGCCCATATCAAGATTTATACATTTTACACGATTTGATCAGTAATAAAATAAGGTTAATGAACAATAACAACTTTAAGGAAATTATGAAACAGAAAAACGACGAATTGTTTGAAGATCTTGGTCAATCCCAAAACGGTATATGTGCAATGTATAAACGATTTTACCCTGAATCATATCTATTAGATGAAAACTTTGTCAGTTCTACCAATATTCAAACACTTTTAATATTTAATAAAATTTTGAAGTCATTAGTAGATCACAGTAAGGATTTTTCTGCGCTTGACTATTCAATTGCCCTGCGTTCAAACAATTTGAGCGACGATTTTCCGGAATATCCTATATTATCCAGATGTCAAACGTATTTAGACACTATCGACTACAGTATCATTCGCGCAATAGAAAACAGTGCTAGAAAAATAAATGATAAAATGGCGTGCTATATTATTCAACTGCTAAATTGGAGACGAAGATTCGCAAATATATGTTGTACAGGCATTTTTGTTACTGATAAAAAAGGAAGGAAAATTTTGAACGACGAAATTGTAAAATTATTGTACGTACATAGTAAATGGCTTGAAAAACATTTGTTTGGTGTACTGTGTAATGATGTCGATCCCATAATACTGAATGAATATACAATGATTACTGAAAGCATAATGCACGAAAGCGATAAAGAGGATTCAGTAATGACTAAATTAACCAAAAAACTCAGAAAATTATATGGTCAACCAAAACTATATAAAAATCAAGATGAATATGACTTGTGTGTAGCAAGATCCAAGTTAAACAATAAATTAACTTTGGACTTGACTCAGTCACTTGGCAAACAAGTGAATAAACTGTCGATAGATTTTGCAAATGTCACTGATTTATCTCTTGCCTTTGATGTACCTGATAAAAATTCAGTAACAGTAATTGAAGATAATATATTAAACTCAATGGAAAATGTAAGAACACCAAGTAAATGGCAATCAGAAGTAAAACTTCTGCCTATAAACGCATATGTTATACAAAGAGTACTAAGTATTGTGAAACAAGAATTTTTGAAAATATTCAACAATGTATCGTTGATAGAAACAAAGGGACTGATTTACCAATCATACTTATTGGTCCCAGTTATTGATATATTAACAAACGTTATACACATCAGCAAGACGACTAAAGGGCTTTCACCATCTCTTGTGAATATGTTAATCTCTATTGAGAAACTTCTTAATGGCAGCTCTGATGTACTACTACATGAAAGGTGTGTATTTCTTAATTTATCAAAGATCAAATCTCTGTCTGATCTGTTTTCACTATTGCTTTCTGTGGTTAGTAAGACATCCTATGAAGAATGTTGTATTTTATATAACTACAAATGTCAACTAAACTAAAAGTATACGTAATGAAGATCAAATTTCATTTAAATCTGTTTTGTAGATTTAGCGTGAAAGCGAGACCTTCAGATAGGCAGAGTTACTTTCGCATTTATAATATTAGTAAGAATAAGTGCAATGGATTCGGATACACTGACATTTAAATACTTTATCATGGTGACATTATTGATAAATCTATACATTATTTTTTTAGTATTATTGTGAATACTTATAAAAATTCTTATATGATAGTTTTACGGTACTGTACCTGCCTTATATTAAGTATCAATAAACACTAATGACTGATAAATAAATTATATTTCTTTTAATATAAAACTTAATTCTAGGTTGTCATCAATACCAGTAAGGTTCTGGGAAAAATTCTACCGAGCATTGGTATTTTCTCCTGCCTTTTATCCTTTGGCATTCTTTAATACAAGTGAAGCTACGCCCAGTGAAGATCTTGTAGAAACTGTGCCCACTAGTGGAAAAAGATTGTCAGCTAATCTCCCATTACTACCATATTATGTACAGAAACTGACATTGTTTGTTAATAATGGTAAGCAAATATTTGTAATATTTGGGAATAAATGCTTATATATTTATCTAAAGTGGCAATGCATAGGGCACATAACTCGTAGGACAGATGGGGCAGTAAAGTCCACGAGTGGCGACCTCTGACCGGAAGACGCAGTGTGGGAAGGCCTCTGACAAGATGGACCGACGATCTGGTCAAGATCGCTAGAAAGCGTTGGATGCGAGCAATGCAGGACCAATCGTCGTGGAGATATTTGGGAATGCCTTTTTTCAGCAGTGGATGATGATGATGATATTTTCTTTCTTGTTACCGCTTATTCTAGGGATACATAGAATTACTAACATTGTAGGGAAGTACTCCTCTAGATATTACTAACCCTACAATTGTCGGACGACAATCTCTAATGTCATATGACATTTTACTTCTTTTCAGATTCCCGTCATTTGCCAGCATATGAAACAATATCGCTAGAAGGCCGTGCAAATTACAGCATACTATTGAATACAGCATTGAACACTATATTTAAGAATATCGCAACACTAGACATCACTGCTTCTTTGAAAATGTAAGTGTAATTAAACTTAATTTTAGGCTAAAAATGCCTAAAATTAATAGCATTTTTTGCCGAGAATAATGGTTGGTAATTGGTTGTTACTCTTTTGGACACAGGTTATAATATGTCACAGCAAAATATCCTAAATATAAATATATTAAACATATATTATAAATAGATAATGAATAGATTTTTTTTTGACTTGTCATTTCAAGATTATAAATTCATATACTGTGGAAGAGAAAAATTGGTTCTCCTTAAAACCACTCACTCTCTTCCAGAGTGTATGATTAACCCATTGTGATTAACCCCGCAGTTAAGATTATTAATCACATATTATTCATATGCAACTATACTTTTCATGGACATATTGATCTCCTCTGCTTTTCAGTAAGTCTGATGCTGAATTCGAAACTAAGAAATATGAACAGTTACTTAATTACTTAAACTTATCCATAACTCCAACTAAATCAAAGGACGAGCAAAGTGCAAATAATACTTTCACAGAAATGATAGAGAAATTACAAATGCAAATTGTTAAAGAGAGCCATTACTGCAACTTATTAATGGAAGCCCAGAATATTTACACTGAGCTATTGATTTTACTGCAAAATGTAATTACTGAGATCAATAGGGTGAAAATATTAACTGCTGAGTTGTCGTTACTAACGAGTCTTTTGTTTACAAAATTAATGACAGAAATTAGACCAGTTGATCATGTTGAAAAGCATAAACTAAAATTGAAATATATTGACGAGGATATCAAAATGTTTGATGCGTTACTTAGCACTTATTACCTTCACGGTGTGGTCACTGGGACTATACCAGAGAAAAGGAAAATTAATATGGCATCAGATGTAACTGTAGAGTGTTTGAGTGCAAATAGCAAGGATTTAGTTAAGGTACACCCATATTGTGCTGAATTGATTGCACTGAAAGAAGAAACAGTGAAGAGAGTGCATAAATATGCATTAGATAATACATTCAGGCCTGCAACTCCATCTTATAGTGAATTTGTCATGGTAAGATTTTCATTGATGATTTAATAATAGAAGTAATTCATAGTAATTTTATAAAGGCGAAAGTATATATATATATATAAAGTCTGTCTGTCTATCTGTCTGTTAGTTTATCGCCTTTTCATGTCTGTCTTTTTAAGTCATTGGAATAACAAATAAACGTATGGCCCATCTGGTGGTAAGAGGTAATACATTACTGACCACGGGTCGCCTATATTCCTTTCCGACATCACGTTACCATGTGACACCCGTGATAGCACTCATGTGTTACCATTCTATTGCCGAAACGCATTTTACAAGTTCACAAAGCAAGCTCTTTACGGTCTACCTCAAACAGAACGTTAAAGTATTTAACGTTGGTCAACTTTTCTTAGAAGATAAAAATTATAATATATTATAATTGACTCTTATCTATTCCAGGACTGTAAACACTTCAAAAAATCTATATTATCACCTAAAACAACACAAGACTTTACCAATAGTCTTATAAATGTGTCTAATAATTTACTGAATCAATTAAAAACTCAAATCTGTCAAGTAAATGATATAAAAAAAGCACATACAGTTGTTAAAGAAACAACATCTTGGTTGTTCTCAGTGAATACATTTTATAACAAACTACAAAAGTATTCGGAAGCGTTTCCTGATTTAGCAAAACCGTTGCAAAGTTCTATATCTCAAATGGTCTATAGTGTTACATCAATAATTGATTTGATCAAAGAAATAACTATAAAGATCGATCAAGGACCAGTATTAGAGGAAGTTGTAAGAGATTTACTAATATATCCGAATCACATAGCAAAGAATGATGAAAAAGAGGAATATCTTAAAAGATTCGTGTCCGATAAGTTTAGAGCTTTATTGAATAAAAATATGGTTGCTGCCAGTGAAGACCCTTACAATGCAGAGTTGGAGAATATTCAGTAAGTAAACGTGTCATTTATGTATGCTATACTTTTTAATTTTATCTATCTATTATATGTCTATATAATTATATTCTCTATTTATATTTATACGACAAAAAAGGAGAATAAGAGATCTTACTTGGTAATTAATGAGAGAATGTTAAGTCCACACAAAAAAGCAATGGAAAAATATTAAATTCTGAATATATATAGGCATATTTTTGTAATTTAATCATATATATTTTAATTTATAGTTTTTTTAACATCTTTATATCTTATGCATTAATATCTCACTACTGGAATTATACAGTTACTATGTGTGTAGTCTAAATTAGGAACACTTTGTAATTTTTTCAGATTATTGAAAATGAATTTGGCTGAATTGAAAATATACTACACCGCATCGGAGCACATTGATGAAGCTACTTTTGGATGCATTCTATTGACGCTCAATGAGTTGGTGGAAGCGTGGCAAAAGCAACAGCAACAAATAGAACAGAAAAAACAAGACGATGACGCGTTATATGTCACTAAGTAAGTACAGTCAACCCTCCTATAACGCGGTGAGTGCGTACCGCGTTGTATGGAAACCGCGCTATAAGAAACTCGGATTTAACCGTACAAACCAGGCTAATTCGTAGCGCGTTCTATGGAAACCGTCTACCGCGTTGTATGGAAACCGCGCTATAAGAGACTCAGAATAAGTACAAATCACATCATTCGTACCGCGTTATATGGAGACCAATAAATACAAAAGACAAGATAAATTATAAATTATTTTTATTGAACTGAAGAGTATGAACTCTTCAATTCAATAAAAATAAGGAAATGATGAAACAAATGAAACAAAAACTAAACTAAAAAACTGTTTTCCAACAAAAACAAAAGAAAGACTTTTGTAAAATGATGTAATCTTTCAACACTCATCCTCACTGTCAGATATGAGTCGCCTAACTCGCCTTCTTTTAATGGGCAAAATGTCTTCCTCACTTGGTTGATCTTCACATTGGTTTTAAGCGGCTAAGACGTAGCAGAAGCAGAACGTAGTTTTTCTATAGTTCACGCGACAATGTAGTCAAAAGATCACATATATATCTTTCATGTTACAGTTTCGTTAGACACACACACGCATGGCACGCAGTCGATGCGAAACTATTTAGTTAATAGAAGTGGAAGATAGCGCATGAGGAGAACCACCCACCCGTGAACCACGCTGATATAAACATATCCAGTTAAAACCATTCATTGGGTGCACGGAAAGAACTGATGGGACGTTGTTGAACGGAAACCGCGCTGTAAGAGTACCGCGTTATAGGAGGGCTGTCGCAATTTCAGCTCCGCGTTATATGGAAACCGCGTTCTGAGAGTACCGCGTTATAGGAGGGTTGACTGTATATTTAATTTTTATTGCAAATATTTATGAAAAGAATTTTATAAATATGTACTTTTAAAAAGCCGACTTTATCATTACAAGCTTCTCCTAGAAACAACTTGGAATCACATTAAAATCTATGATTTCCTTTCCTACTTTTAGATCAAAATGCGAGGATGAAAACGAAGAAGAAATTGCAGAACAAGAGATAATGGAAATGTTTCCATCATATTCAGACATTGATTTCGGTGAATTTAAGCCACCCAGTCTTGAACAGAAGACTAAGAAGACTCAAAGTATAGATAATAAACCAAAACTGTTTTTAAATCAAGAAGACATATCATTGGTTTATGAATGGCATTCAATATTCGTTCGAAATATAACACGGACGGAATGGTTACCCAGCCCAAAGAATTTGTTAGGGTGTAATGCAGTAATGCCATTACTTCAAAGGTATCCCACATTTAGCCGCATAATGCAGAATGCTTGGGAAGCATTAGACGCAGATTTTGAGGGAATTATGACACCAAGTCTAATGCTGATTATATCGCAGATAAAAACGAAAGTTGATGGCAATGGTAAGAAAAAGTTACATTTGTTTTCAGACAGACATTGAAATATGAAAATGAAACGAAAAAATTACAATATGTTATGTAAACTATCTTTTCTGCATCTAATCTTGTATTTAATGTGAATTGACAATATATTAGCATTCGCCAACTATTCAAAGTATTACATATAATTGTTCAAAGAATACAAGATAATAAGAATACATCATTTTTATTTATAGAGCCGTCAAGTCAAAAAGTGGATTTCTACCGTTCCGCGTGGGTTTCCGAAACCAGACAATGTGTTCCTTTACTTTACAAAGTAAAGGAGGCAACAAACGAACTTCTGGACCAATGGCCCGATTTCCCGACTTTGAAAGATGTGAGTAATTTAAAATTTTAATTTATTTCCAAACTATCTTTACCCTTTTTTGCATTACCACTGATCTGATTTTTTTTACATTACCACTGATCATTTGGGTTTGGCATAATATATTTTACTCTTACTTTCTTTTCCATTTGCAGTTATCTTAGAGGTCAGTCAGGTAGACACTCTTTTACTTCTATAAACATCCACAATATCTCAATTCCCCCTACAATGGATACCCGAAAATCCAAAGATTCAGTCATAAGATATCATAAGATACATAAGATTCAATTTTTCATAATTAGGTTTCTTTATTATTTTTCAGATAATTGTAATCGTGAACAGAATCCTGAACTTCCCCTTGTCAAGTCCTGTATCTCGCCTTCTCACTGGACTAGAACTGCTCCGCGACAAGATTGAGGAGTGGAACAAAAACGCGCATAAGGGCAACAATATGATTGACATCTCATTGGCCGTCGGACAACAGATTGTGAATTGGAGAAAACTCGAGATGTCACAGTGGAAGGAGTGCCTTAATAATATGTATGACAGGTATGTGCCTAAACATAAGTATTCTGTTTCGCATCAAAAAAGGTAAAATAGGACCTTTTTATTTGTGACCTTGTCGTAAGTTTGTCTACAGTCGTTTTATTTTTCTCTTGAAATTAGTAATTAGTTTAGAATTATGGTCTCATCCATAAATTACGTCATAACATTTTATTATTTTTGACCCCTAAAGGGACTATATATGTACCAAATTTAATTTTAATCAGTTCAGTAGTTTTAGCGTGAAAGCGCGACAGACAGATAGAGTTTATAATAATAGTAAGGATTGTTGAAATTGCAGGAAACGTTCAGAAGCTCACAAATACTGGTTCTATATGTATTCAGTTGTGATATCGTATTTGGATGCTAATGCTGATGATGAAATAGTACCTGCGTCTAAAGTGACGTCTGTACTCAACGAGTTCATGGAGAAATCTAACCTTGTCGAGTATGAAGTGAGACTGGACATCATATATATGTACCATTGTCATCTGGTACATTTGGAGCCCAGTGACAGAAGAGGTTTGTTTTTTAAGATAATATAATGTACTATAATAATGCGGTTTCTCTACACCCTCCAATTTTATTGTCATCATCATTTAATGAATATTAAAGGCAAATGTATATAGTGATATATAACTCACGTAATCATATAAGTAGCATATATATGTGTTACTTACCATCATTTGTTCTGTTAGAATGTTGACTTTTCCATTTAATTAAACAACCTAGTAATCGTGATGTCATTCAACTTATTTTCAATATGAAAGATTGTGATTAATAGTCTTTTTTACATGCTCAAATAATAATAACATTTTTTTTTTAATTGCAGATGAATTACTATCGATATTGTGGAATACATATAATTATTATTCGCAATTTAAAGCACAAGTATCTACGCATGTAAAAGAGAAACGTGCACCAATAGAAAAGAAACTGCGCGACTTTGTGAAAATTTGCACTTGGGACAGAGACCTTAGCTATTGGAGTGTTAAAGATACGGTGGAAAAAGCACATAAAGCTCTTCATAAACAAACAAAGGAATTTGAGGTAATAATATAATTGATTTGCAACCAAATTTCGTATTAGCTCACTCCAGCGTATGTTTTTCTTCTATTAAATTCCGATTCTATTATCACTGCAACTGGGAATCATAAGAATTTGCAAAGAATTTCAATATAGACTAAATAGATCTCGCTTTAGTTTATAGTTTTCACACAAAAAGACTAAGGTATTTACTTCTTTACTCAATTTACCTTTAATCTTCCTTCTACACTACTTACTTTTTGTACTTTTTGCCGCCGAATTACGTTTGGCAATCATTTCAAATCCGTAAATGGCGGCAAACAAACCTGCATAGATGTAAAGAAGATTTATATAAACATTGCACAAAACGATTTTTTTCTAGAATGTTCTCAAAGAGCCTGTGGCCAATTGCTTGGTGGATAATAGCAGCGAAGACAACACAGATCATGTCGGCATCTGGGATCGGCCGAAACGAGCTGCAAGCGCGCCTGTAGGCGGCGCCTACATGATAGATGTGTTGAATTTCATACTGCTCACTAGAAATATAAAGGTATTTTTTTTTAACCTTTTATGAGTAATATACATTTTTTACATTGTTTGGTTTTAACATGAATATTTTAGCTAGTGCAACGTAGTCAAATCATCGAGAGACTAAAGGAATAAAGGTATTTATCCTTTATTTACAATAAAATTATCGTGTTAAGGTTCGTTTAATAATATAAATACCCATAATGGTATGTATAACTAACAACCCAACCTGGCTTGGCTAAGCCTTCCCAAGAAATTACTCTGTTGATATAAGAAAACCGCATGAAAATCTATTTATTTGAGATTTTATATTTCTATCTATTTGAGATTATCGCGAATACAGAGGCGCCGAAGATCTTTGTTTTATATAGGTATGAAGGTATATTTTTTTTTGAGCGCTGGTAATTCCTAAATACAGTACAGATAGCTGCAGCTCACTGACAGCAAGACAAAAAAAGTTAAAAAAAAAATATCTAAAAGTTAGCCGCTAAATTACCAATTGTGAATGGAATCAAGCTATTAATAAAGACTAAGTGATTTTGTAGATATTTAGTATATTCTTATTGTATATAGTGCAAATTTCAATGTATTTCCAACATTTTTTCTTTAGAAATATCTGGACAATGCTGATCAACCATGTCAGGCCATAACAGAAGGATCTCTCTTGTCGAAAGTGACGAATTTGTTGAATAAAGCAAAGACACTGTGCAAAGATACCATGACGAATTCTAGCTATCCATCTATGGTGCAGGCATTGGATGATTTTGTAACCCTCGTCATTGAGACCAGTACCCATCTGGGTTCATTAGAGGTATGGAAACATATTTTTGTTAAAATAAACAATTGTTATTTAAATCAAAAAACACATTTTTTTTCTATTCATTTTTATAATTCAGTGATGTAGTGGTTTAGCACATCGATTTATTTCTGATAATTGTGAGTTCGATCCTCACACGATATAAATATTCGTAAGTAAGATTGTTTTTAAGGATCAGGATGTTTTCTATTTATATTATGTACGTATTTATAAAAATATCAATTTAAATATTTCCTTCAGTTGTCTAGCGACCTTTGTACAAACTATGTTCAGTTTAGGACTAAATGGCGCTGTGTTTTGGAATACTGTTATTAATAATTACTTAGTTAATAGTAAGATAATCTTTACAAAATATGAAAAAAATCCTAAATAGGTAATTATTCAATTTTCAGGTAGATTCAACTCTACCAAAAGAGAAGCAAACATCTCAAGCAAAGAACATAATACAACAGAAGCGTAAAGCTCTTGCAGATCTTTTCAAGTATCTCACTAAAATGGGTCTCAACTACCGCACTGGTCTTGTCATATTGGCGGCTAGCGAGGACTTATATGACTTCACAATACCGCCCGTGGATGTAGATGCTGCTTTACAATACTTAAAGAACCGGTATATTAAATTATCACTGTCTATTTTTTATATTCTTATGCCATTATGCACTTAAACTGTCATTGGACGGTTCTAGTTCAACTGCCTTCTTTAATATTAAAGAGTTATTTTTGTTAGAAAGATGGAAAGCAAAGAAGTAAGTAAAATTTTAAATCAATGTCAAAATATAAAATAAAATGTCTATAACGTTTCCAGCCAATATTATCAACATACCCCCTTAATCTACAATGTATGTAACAGCAATATAAACAATAAACATGACATTGGAGATTAACAATAATAAAAGTTATACAATGCCTACATTAGTTATACAATTTTTAAATTTAACATTGCATAAAGGTTTGGTAAGCATGTCTGCCCACATTTTTTCTGTTGGAACAAACTGTACATCAATTATCTCTTCCACTATCTTTTCTCGGATAAAATGAAATCGCGTATCAATATGCTTGGTTCGATTATGATGGACTGGATTTTGCGCTAATTTTATAGCCGACTGACTGTCACAAAATATCGTAACGCGCTGTAACTTACCGGTCACTTCTGATATGAAGCTGCGAAGATAACAAGCTTCTTTAGCGGCTGCTGTTAAAGCCATATATTCTGCTTCAGCCGAGGACAAAGCCACTGTAGGTTGCTTTTTACTTTCCCATGCAACTGGTCCATCTGCCAGCTTCATATAAAAACCTGTATATGAACGGCGCGTTTCAACGCAATTCGCCCAATCAGCATCTGTGAACCCGTACAATGTTTTCTTTGTACATCGATATGTCAGTGAATAATCAATGGTACCTTTTAAATATTGTAGTACATGCTTTGCGGCTAACCAATGGGTTTTATTAAAATTAGAATTAAATTGACCCAAATAACTGGTTGCAAAAGCGATGTCCGGGCGTGTATGAGTGGCCAAAAAAATTAGGGATCCAATCAGTTCCTGATAAGGATAAGAACAACATTCGTTCTGATCATTAGGCTCTAGTTTCTTATTTATTGGTGTGCGTACCGTTTTACAATCTTGCATACCAAATTTCGCTAAGAGCTTTTCCACAAAAGTCCTTTGATTCATTTTCAATATCCCTTCTTCATTTGATATATTAATACCTAAATAATACTTTAAATCGCCTAACTCCTTTAAACTGAAATACTTTTCCAAATCATTTTTCACATTGTCATATGTCATGTCATTTTTATAGAAAAGAATTATGTCATCAACGTAAATAGCTAATATTACTAATTCGTCACCAAAAAGTTTCGTATATACACATGGTTCAAGGAGTTTTTGTAAAATTCATTTTTGATAAAGTATTATCTAATTTTATATTCCATGCACGTGGGGCTTGTTTAAGTCCATATAGCGACTTATGTAATCTACATACCTTTTTCTCACTGTTTTCTGAAAAACCTTGGGGTTGTTCCATATATACCTCCTCCACAAGGTCTCCATTTAGAAATGCGGTATCTACGTCGATATGGCGCATCTTTAGGCCAAATTCAACAGATAATGCAAACAAAGTTCGCAAAGATGACATTCTAACTACAGGAGAAAAAGTTTCATAGTAGTCTAGTCCAGCTATTTGACTGTAGCCTTTCGCAACTAATCGTGCTTTGTATTTAACAATGTTCCCGTGCGCATCTCGTTTTTGTTTGAATACCCATTTACAAGGTATGACTTTCTTTCCTGATCTATCTACTAAACTCCACGTATTTAGTTTTTGGAGAGATCTGTACTCATCTGCCATAGCTTGTTTCCACTTATCAGCATCTACAGCATTTATTGCCTCCGTATAAGTAGAAGGTTCATCTGGTTCCATTATAGAATTACATACCTGATAAGTTAAGAACTCAGGTGATTTTCTCGTTCTCAAAGGATATCGACGCTCTGTTTCTACGGTTTCTGGTGTTTCTCCATGCTGATTTGGATCTATAGGTGAGGGTATCACGGTCTCTTCGTGAGTTTGGGCATCCTCAAATATATCCTCTTCAACTGCCTGTTCTACTTCTGTATTAGTAGAAAATATAATAGGCATGTGTAAATTATTAGAAAAATCAGCATTGGTATTACAGTTCTTAATACTTTCTCAAAAAATGAAACATCTCGAGATTTTACTAACTTTCTCGGACATTGAGCGTTACGAAAAAGATAAGTATTATGTTCAGTAGTATACCCAATAAAAATATGTTCTTCAGCTTTATTATCTAATTTCCTCCTATTACATGAAGGAATATGTACAAATGCCCTACAGCCAAACACACGAAGATGGTTTAAGTTCGGTTTATGATCATACCATTTTTCATAAGGCGTCATGCAACTTAAGGCACGATGAGGACATCTATTCTTTAAGTATACAGCTGTCTCAAAAGCATCTTGCCAATATGCCTTTGATAAATAACTGTCAGCTAATAAAGAATGAGCCTTTTCTGCAATCGACCTATTTGTACGTTCAGCCACACCATTTGACTGTGGGCTATAAGGCGCTGTGGTTTGGTGAGTAATGCCCTGTGAGTTAAGGTACTGAATGAAGTCACTATTAACATATTCAGTGCCATTATCCGTCCTTAACTGTTTTATATGACCGTTTAATTGTTTTTCCACTAGAGCTTGAAAAACAATAAATTTATTTTTCACTTCTGTTTTATTTGAAATAAAATATACAAAAGTCATTCGTGTAAAGTCGTCAATGAAAAATAAAGCATATTTGTTACCTTGAAAAGAGACTTCAGGTAATGGGCCACATAAATCAGAATGAATAAGTTGTAGTGGCTCAGTCGCTCTTTTACATAGAATGCTCTTAAATGGTTTTCTGACCTGCTTGGCTTCAATACATGCTACACAAGGCTCCTTATCTGCTATATCAAAATGTATTATAGCTTGACCTTTTAATGATTGTAACCCAAAACGACAAAGATGACCTAACCTCCTATGCCATAAACGATATTGTGACAAGTCAGTTACTATATCGGCATGTGAAACATTGTAGCTCAACTTTGTAGTATTATTAATAGTACAGTCCAAAATACAGTCCACCAGAATTCGTACCATGCAATATTGATTTACCTCCTTTATCAACTATAGTTTGGACAGAAATTAAATTCGCCTTTAGTTCGGGAACATAAGCAACATCACTAATCCTATCAAAAAATTTACTTTTAGTATTAATGGGAACAGTACCTACGCCAGAGCAGTTAATATCTGTACCGTTTGCTATTGTAACTTTACCAGAACAAGGTTTAAGAGACGTCATCCAATCTAGTCTCGAAGACATATGTTTCGTTGCTCCTGAGTCAATTACCCACCTATTCATTTGTAAACCATCATTTGCTCCAAGAGCGTGAGCGCTCAATACGGAAGATTCTTGTGATGTATTGCTTTTAAAGATTTTCTTATTTGGACAATCTGGGCGTTTATGTCCTGGCTCCTTGCAATCGTAACATATAATTTGCTTCTTCTGCTTCTTATATTTATCTGGACGGGTCCTTGTCTTTAATGCTGATACAGGCTCCATATCGCGAGATAACTCATTTAAAAGTTTAGTTTTGACCAAATCAGAGGTAATTTCAATGTTGCTATTCTCTAGTCCCATGATAAGGGGTTCATATTTTAATGTAAGACCGCCTAACAGAATCGCCGCAACGGAAGCATCTTCTATGACTTTCCCTATATCTGCGAGATCTTGGACGGTGCTCATTATTGCATTTATGTACTCTTCCATGCCAGAAAATTGTTCGAGATTGAATTTGTATAGTTTTCTCTCTAAAGTTATACGACCCATGCTGCGGTTTTCATATGCCTTTTTCAACTCATTCCAAGCATCTTTGGCGGTTTTACAGTTCCGTACATGAGTTATGGCTGGACCGTCTAACGTCAAATTAATTTTTGACAAGGCTTTCCGATCTTGACGGATTCTTGTCGCTTTTACAACCACACCTTCGGGATATCTACTATTGTCTCAAAAAGATCTTCATGTAAGTAATTACTCATCTTAAATTTCCAAGATGAATATCCTTCTTTATTACAAAGATATATGGTATTACTTACGCAGGAACTTGAACTCGAAATTCCTCGAGTTGTATTATCACCAGCGTGCATTTTTACTATTATTTTTGTAAAAATATGTAACAAAAATCCTTATAATTTTAAATTATTTGTTAGAGCATTCGTGCTGATAACGTGTTAGAAAGATGGAAAGCAAAGAAGTAAGTAAAATTTTAAATCAATGTCAAAATATAAAATAAAATGTCTATAACGTTTCCAGCCAATATTATCAACAATTTTGAACGTTGAACTGGACGTTATAGTGTCAATGTAAAAAAAAATTATTTGACAAAAACTGAATTCGAACATTTTGTTATTACAGACGTTGTGATGCATCTCTATCACTCCTATGGTCGGGCTGCGAAAAGTACTTTCAGAAGAACATAGCACGACATCGACTTCTTACCGCCGCATTATGTTCCCCACACCAAGACCTGGGAATTCAAAACATTGAGCGGTGTAAGGGATTCGCCGCGCAGTTGTTGGTTAGTTAGATTAATATAATACATTAAAATATGTCTTTGTCGCATTACTCGGTAGGTTTAACACACCGTTTTTCTTTGATAGTTGCAAGTTGCAAACATTTGTATTCATAAGTATTGGTTAGCGTGTTTTCTATGGGTTATGTATATACATAACGTATATTTAACACAACAAAAAATATATTAAGTACACTTTGTCTAATACCCATAACATAAGGTCTGCTTAAGTTGGTGCTAGAAGAAGCTATGTGAAAAGTCTTGGGCTATTTTTGTTATTATTTATACTAATAAAGGTAAAATAAGTCATCTATGTAGGTCGTAAATCTTTTATTTAAATGTTTCAGAAATTGACCAACACTCAAAAGAAATCCATATCCAAATACTCCAGACACCTTTCCGATTTACGCACGGTCACTACAAACCTGACGAACGCATTAGAAATTGATACTACTACTACTAATGTATCGACAGTGAATCAAAAGCTTTCTATATTGGCTGAGTGTATTACCAATGTTACCATATTATTAGAACAGTTTAGTGTATTACTAAAATCATGTCCAGAAAGAACAATCGATTTAGAATCTAATCCCAATATCGATGCTGTACTTTCGAATTCTTCGATAGTACGTTGTTACAAAAATAGTGACGAATGGAACGAATTGTACAAAAGAATCAAATCTATCATATCCGATGTACATAAACTAAAAACAGAATTAAATAAATTAATATTGTTCCCTAAGAAAATTGGCAGAAACACTCAGTGTTTGCAAGTAATTTCACAAAGTCACATCGATATGGCAAACGGAGCTAAGATTAAATTGCGGAAAATTGCAAGTAATGTTGATAGTATTCTGCAAGAATATCAGATCAAATTTAATTCTGAAATTGTTAATTATGTACCTCATCATCCAATGATGAGAAGTATTGTTGAATTAAAGGAATATTTAATGGATACTATCAATCAAATTGATAAGCTAGATAAAGGTAATGATGTTGTGATGGAAGAATCTTCAACTAACAGTTTACTTGGAAAAGCAGAAGATTTGTTAGCAACTACATTGCTGGTTATTCAATCGATATATAAAAAGCATTTACCTGTATTGAGTGGTAGTAATGCAGATATATTAGACGCTATCGATAAAGTTATTGATAGTGAAAAAGACAAAGAAGAATCTAAAGATATTTTGGAAGATAAACATTTGAAACAACATTTGCAAGAAAATTTAACGAGCGATGGAAGGATGCTTCAATTAGAAACTATAATAAATAAAACAAACGACTTATTAGAAAATTATGTACAATTGATGTGTAATCAATCAGATACCAATGAAGAGAAAAATGTCTTGATGAGATTGATTCCAATATTGGAACAAACAGTATTGTTTGTACAATATTTCGTTACACAGAAAGTGGCAGTCCACAGAGTTTCTTGCAAGATGTTGTCAGTATTATTAAAAATATTCTCTGATCTAGCAGCAAAAGGGTAAGTTACATTTCCTCCAAAATATAATTTTATTATTCTACTTAACCATATGAATGTCCACCACAACAATTTGGAGCAGTCAGATTGTCTATTTGTAGATAAGATCGTTTAGAAACTATAGATACAATTAGGTAGGTAAGGTTATTCACATACACAAATCAATAGTGGTGGGATTTAAGTAATTTTAGAGTTCCGGAACAGCAACGCATGACATTTACCAAGGACGCTACGTATATTTTCGGAAATATCGTTACCATACCATACCATATTGTTCTAACTTATAAGTATTATATTCAATTAAGAATAGTGATGTGTTTAACATTACTTAATATATGTCTGAGTGATTTAAGTACTCGGTATTGATGAAGTACAATAATTGCCATGGGTATATTTCAGGTTCTGCAGACCATCAGACTTAGATACTGAAGAGGGTGAAGGTGAGGGCGGTCCTGGCAAACTGACAGGTGGAGTTGGTCTCGGTGATGGTGAGGGTCAGAAAGATATTTCAGAACAGATAGAGAATCAGGTACTGGTTTATTTTTACAATCATTTTGCATAACTATGAAGGGGTACTGTTGTAAAAACATATTTTCCTTGCTATTTATTATTACCCTTGGTAACAGAACATACTTTATATTAAAGTATATTGTTTCCGTAAATGTTACTATAATTTTAGTTTATTATTGATTATATAATTATTAATTATATGCATCGTAATGTTATTGTCGGTCATACTTTTACTTTCAACAATGTTTAAATAGACTTATTGTGTAACTCTAAACAATATGTTTCTGTATGTTTAGATGTATATCTATTTGTGTTGATTTTAATATACTTAAATAATAATAAACTTTGAAGAAAATAAAAATAAACTTTTTGCAATAACTATTCTAAAAAAATATTTATAATTTATTGGTAAAAAGGACCAATTGGATGACGCGCATCGTCCTGGGGAAGAAAAAACACAAGAGGAAAGAGATTGCAAGGAGGAGGAGAAAGGCGTTAACATGAGTGACGACTTCGACTCGCATTTACAGGACGTCGAGCAAAAAGGTATTGAATTTGAAATATTCTGTTTAAATATGATTACTATGATTATGTTCCCAGTGAACACTGATTAATTTTCTTTAAAGTCGCGTTCGCAGAGTCTCATGGTACAGTTACCGAATCAATATACTAATAATATATGATTTTGTTATAGAAGGAAATGATTCTGAACAAGAGGATGATGAAGAAAACGCCGATAAGCAGATGGGCGATACTGAGAACGCCGCTGAAAAGTAAGTAACACGATTAGTTAGTTTTGTGATTATTTTATAGCCAAATATATGATTTATATTGTGTGGTCGAAACAGATAAAAATAACTCTCAGAATATTTAGTTTTTAAAGGTAAAACCTCAACAAAGACAATCTAAATTTATAACTTTATAGTCCATTGTCACTGTTTTAATTTAAACAATGTAATATTTATGTTGTTGTGAATGATAGACTAGACCAACAAATCTGGGGTTCTGAAGATGAGGATGATTTAGACGAAGAGCAAAACAATAGCAAAGAAAAAGAAGAGAAAGGAAAGGGTGAGAGCACGGGCGAAAAACAGATAAGTGCTAAGGAAGAAGAACAAGGCACGGATGACGGGACAGAAGGGAAAGATAAACAAAAGAAAAAAGACATCAATGAAATGGAAGAACCTGAAATTGATGATGATCATGTAAGTGGTGCTAGTAATTTGTGTAAATATAGTGTGTGTATGTGAATTCCTATACATGGGGTTCCCCATAAAAATTATAATAAAGTATAGGAACCCAGACATCCTATTTAATTTCAAATATTATAAGATTGACAATGTCGTACTATTTTTAAGAAATTTAAATGTTATTAATATACGAATAATATGTTTTTCTTACGGGAAACTCCTTCTGTTTTGTTTGTTTGTGTATTAGCTTTAACATAGAGCCAAGTCTTGGCTTATGCAATTGTCTTAAAAAATAATTGTTTTAAGAGCGATTATACATTAGAATTGTATTTGTCATTTGAAGATTTCAGTTAGCACCAATTCGTCTAAATTTTTTTAATCACAAATTTGTTTGATATCAGTGAATTAAAGTATATAGACAAAACGCGATTCACACATGATACATTGTACCTACAAGAGATCGGTCTTTTTCCTAAGTAAGGCCTATTAGAGTATTAAATAATTTAAAAATGTTTATTTTCAGGTGGACCCGTACCATGGTAAGCAGCAGCCGCTTCCAGAACCCGAGGACTTTGAGTTGCCAGACAATACAGATGTTGATGGGGATGAACAGGATAATGATAATGTAAGTAATATATGTGTACGTATTCTATTGTATGATGTAAATAAATAAACCGTATCCAGTGTAATTATTCATTTATAACATATTATACACAAAGTATGCATCAAGCTGCGATGCCCGAATGAGTAGAATTTGATCATTTAGTAATTAGTAGGTAAGTTATTTGAATATTTTGTCTATAGGATGGTGAAACAGAGACCGAAAATCCATTCGAAATACCAGTAATGGCTGAGGATATGCCAGAACATAAAGAAGACGATGGTGAAGAAGAGAAAGAGAATAGAAATGGTCTAGATGTGTCAAGTGATGAAGAAAATGGCGACAATCAAGATAATGAAGAGACGGTACGTTTTATTGCAATAACTTGTAACCTTTTGCTTTATTCCGGAAGTAAATAATGATAATCAATAATTAAAGCAATGTTTTCAATATACTTTATGCTATACTACAAATATTAATTAGAAAGTATTGTACTAATTTTATTTACTTAAAATATGATAAATAAAATGATTAATATTCTATTTTATCAATTATTTCGTTCGAGTAATCAGAATAAATATATTCTTAATCAATAGATCGACATAGACAAACTGTAATCTATATCCATTATTGTATCAAATATTATATCGACGCCAAATCTAAGAACTGTACTTGTTAATTGTTAATGCATGAAATAAAATAGACTACTACTTATACATTCAAATTATAAGGCAGGAGAAGATAAAAAATACAGTATAGTACTTTCCTTTTATGAAATTTAATGCAAATTCATGTAATGTATAGGAAAAAGAAGACACAAATAAACCACAAGATGACCAGCCTGAAAGCGCAAATGAAGAAGACAGTCAGGAGGCTGAGAAAAAAGAGGAAGGTACTGAAAATGAAGACAAAGGGGACACATTTGAAGAAAATGCCGAAGAAGAAACACCTGATAAACCAGAAGAGAATCTCCCAAAGAATCCCGATGATGTAGATAAAGAGGATGAAGTAGAACAGAAGAATCTTGAGGCGAATCCACAAGCGAATCCATCAAACAATGATCCGACGGCAGAAGATAGAGCTGAGAACGCAGAGATGGATAGGGGAACTAATGATAACGTTGAAACTAATGCCGAACAACTTAAAGATGAGGAAGCCGAACTTAAAGTAAGTTTTTTTACATTGTAAATTCTAATTTGTCATAATTTAATAAAAACATCCTGGTTTTTCATTTAAAACTCAACTTTTTGAGTTGGAATTAAATCTAATAAAAATTAAATTTATTATATCTTGTACACAATATATAAATTATTCATGCCACTTGATCAATGTTTAAAAATTATTAATATATTTTGAGATAATAAGTATGACACAATTGCGGGTGGAAAACCTTCTCTATGAAAAGATTAATTAAGTTCTGTAATAGAAAAGGTATCATATAGCACATATAAAAAATGTGCAATAACATTATTAACCGCAGATTTTTTAAGATCCTGTAATTTTACTACCTTATTTCTTATATTCAAACAAAACATATCTTACAAACCCAGCTGGATGGCGTCTAAAATAGGTGTGAATGAGGTCTACTTCGGTATAAACTAAACAACAACAATATTTAAATACATGATCCAAAATTAAAATAGCTAGTACGAAAAATCGGGTGACACTGATGTGATAAAAATATTTATAGTGTGCGCTTATTGAACTCGTTACTAATTATTATTTTTCTGTGTGTAGGAACAATCGCAAAAACAAGTGGGTGATGAGAAACAATTGACGGGCCGATCAGAGTTGGACAAGAGCGATAAAGGACATCGCGGTGAGAAGCAAGCCGCTAGTCGCGCCGACGCCACCGAACAAAAACAGAAAGAACGCGAGAACAAGCCGGGAAGCACGGATCAGGAACGGACGCTAGGTATAGCGGCTTGTTTAAACTGAAACACATTAATCACATCAATCATGCTCAATAATTATAATCCTAAATTTTATGCAAATCTGTTTTAAAGTTTATTACAATTATTATAGAGTCGATTTTCCAACAAAAAACAGTTTATTGTTAAACATGCGATATGTTATAACCATTTGTTAGTATCAGTATACTTCTGTAATCATGAAACAAAATTTCAATGTATTTCAAAGGATAATTCAAATCAACTGTAATAAATGAACAAACACCAGTAGTTATTAAGAATTCTTTAGCAAACCACTCTGAGCATAAATTGATCCCTGCAATACTCGGTTCTTCACTCTACATATTTAGAGTCCGCATCTCCATCCTTCATTATTGGTCGTATATTTTGCCTTATATTGTATCGATTAGGAATACATTATCACCATTCGTAGTTAATATTATACTATAGATAAATAATAAACATATTTTGTAGGAAACGTAAATGAAACGAAGCATAAGCAGATGCACACATTAAACATGGAAAGAGAAGACGAAGGGGAAGAGGAATCTGGTGATAAACATGATGAAGATAAGAATGCCGACGCATATCAACACGTGAAACAAGCACAGAAGGACGACATGCAGGTAAAGTTCGCTGCAAATTACAAAATCATGTTTTATTTAATTAACTGGAGTGGCAAAGCAACTGACGGGATCTGTTGCAAAATGTAAACTGTTATTTTAAATATAAACTCATCCACAAACTGGTATATCTCTTTCCTAGGCGATAGACGCAGCTACAAAAGAACAAGCAGATCAACAACCCACAATACAGCAAGAAGAAGAAGAGGCAGAGAAACTAAAAGAGGATGAAGAAGTACCTATGGACATTGATGACGACGATATTCAGGTTTGTTACACGTTTTATTGTCAATATTAGTATACCTAAATGTATTAAAAATAAAGTATAATAAATTTTATAGTATAGTATAATAAATTACAAAATAGTTGAAGGCATTACATTTAAAATTACCTTCGGCAGTGATATTTGATATAACTGTCGGAGAAAAACATTTTTATTACAGTTTGTTTACATATGGTTTGTACCATCTGATATTTTGTTATTTTAGTTCAAGGCCCAGGCAAATTAAATATTACTGTAGTTTCATTTTTTTACTATGAGAAATTTGGGAAAGATTATTGAATATGTGTATTATTTGCAGATTACAAAGTCTGAAGAACTCAAGCCAGAGAAAATTAAAAATGGCTCGGAAAAGGATGATGAAAAGTCTGGAAAGAATAAAGAAGGAGGCGAAGAGCCAACAGGTGAAACTGGCATCGAGGTAGAGGGTGAGCAAGTGCTTACAGCAAATGTACCAAGAGGCAAAGATACCACTTATCACACAAGGTATGTATTATTTAGCAAGCTCAGTAACTTTATGCATGAATTGCTAATTTTACTTTGCTTATATTGGGTTAAGAAATAATCATTATGATTTGATAAAATGTAAACGTACTTAATTTGACGCTGATAAATACTGAAACCAGTACAGCAATTTACTAATTTACTCCAGAAATTTAGTTCTTATCCAAAACAAACGTATATTCATCTATGTAGATATGTTTGGATCTTTGAATTTATTTATAGATTACGATGTCGTTCTTTTCTGCACTAAACTTCACTTCAGTATGAAACCGAAGTGAAGTTTAGTGCAGAAAAGAACGGCGGAAACAATGGTTTGTCTAAATATTTTGTTATATGTTACTTCATTGTTATTACACAGTTGTATATTAAAAACATAATATACGTACAGATTAGATGACAATCAGCAGCATACAGAAGAGATGACAGTAGAGGAATATATGAGTATCCGCGAGTGGGTCCAGCGTGGTTCTCACCAGGGTCCGTGTTCGAGCGGAGTATGGAGATCGCTTTGGCAAGAATCAGCCGGGGCCGCGCGGGCGCTCTGCGAGAGACTGCGCCTCGTGTTAGAGCCTACTGGACGCTCTAGGCGAGCAGGTATATATACTAGTGAAATGGTCGAAACATTTTTTTCCTGTCAATCAAATTACATAAAAGAAAATACATTTACAGAATATTCAGCGTATGCTGACAGGATGTTCCTGTGTAGCACTGGTTATCAAACTAACCCTTTCTACTAATCTTGAAGATAATATAAAAAATATATAGGAGAACTGGGGTAGAATTTGAAATCAAAGTGTTTAAAACCAAGTACTTTTGTCTGCGTCATAATATTAATATGTCATTATTTGTAGGCGATTTCCGGACTGGTCGAGCTATAAACATGCGGCGTGTGATTCCGTACATCGCGTCGCAGTTCCGTAAAGATCGCATCTGGTTGCGGCGGACGAAGCCCGCTAAACGTGAATACAGCATCGCCATCGCTCTCGACGACTCCAGCTCTATGGCCGACAACCGGAGCAAAGAGCTTGCATTTGAGAGCCTCGCTCTAGTATCGCAGGTGAGTGGATTAACTTGTGCACATTGTCTACTAGCGAAATATAGAAATTTAAAAATCGAAATTACAATTTTATATAATATATCCTGGATATTTTTAAGTATTTGGAATGGCTAACAAACCGGCGCCCACCTAATGGTAAGTGTTACTACCGTATATTCATCACGTATATAGGAATATACATGAATACATATTAATATTCACGTAATATAGCTTACAAAACATGCTGCGTGGTGGTTTAAATAGAGAGATGATTTTTTATAAAGTATACCTCGGTACATATGTATATCAATCGACAGAAAATTCATATAATATAACACTTAAATGTCTTTGCAGGCTTTAAATCTGCTGGAGTCTGGCGATCTTTCCATTCTCAGCTTTGGCGAGAAACCTATTCTTCTCCACCCATTCACTGAACAGTTTTCGGAGCACTCAGGCTCGAAGATTCTAGAACAATTACGCTTCGAACAAACAAAAACGAAAGTAGCTCAACTACTAGACTTCTGTTCAGTTTTGTTCGAGGAACAAACAGTGAGGAGCGACGCTGTAAATGCAAAACTATTGGTGATAGTTAGCGACGGGCGAGGGATTTTCTCCGAAGGAGAGACCCGAGTATTACAAGCAGTACGCAGAGCAAGACAGCAAGGAATATTCTTAGTCTATGTTATCATTGACAATCCAGATAATAAGGTAAGAGTTTCAACATGTTCGTTCAGCTACGGAAAAATACTACATTTTTAAAAACTATTTTGGGGCATAGTTATACTACTTAGAGCACTGTTCAAGAGCTTGACTCTGAAGGGTCAATAATTTTTGTATCAATATTCAAAAACCTCATTGCTAAGCACCATAAACATTAGTCTATAAAATAGATATTATTGTCTTTATTTTATATTTTTCATTCAAAGTTTGCCCATAAACGCTGAGGAAATGTTTTTAGCATTAATTACATTGACTTTACAGTATATATTTTTATTCTCGCAATTACTTAATAGCGGTTTATGATATTAAAATTTAATTTAATTGAACACATATATCTCATCTCTGTCTTACTAAATTTCGGGCAAAAAAACCTTTGCTTCGTATTTATAATTGTCTATAGTAATAACATTGTAAATCCCACCAGCATTATTGTGCTGAATCTTAAAGAAATTTGACAAAAATCTGTCAAGAGGGTGGTCCAAATGAAGTCGCGATTAACACCTAGCCTGTATATATATATTACAGGCGCATTACAGAAAATAATAATTCAATTTAATAAATCTCTTTACAGGATTCAATCATGGACATCCGTCGACCTCTCATAGACCCAGTTACAAACAGTCTCGGCGGTTTCGTACCTTATCTCGATACTTTTCCATTCCCGTTTTACCTAATACTCCGGGATATGTCGGCTCTGCCTACAGTCCTAGGAGATGCTCTTAGACAATGGTTCGAATTAGCCGCGAATACTGTTAGCTAGTATTATAGTATTGTATAAGTTTAAGGGTTGCTTTTTTATGTGTACAAAATGTAACAAAAAAAAACACTATTTTGTTGTTAAAATTTTTTGGACAACTTTGTTAATTAGGTATATCAATTATAATTAAGTGCTGTGATTATTATATGACTGCATTGTATTAAATAGTTGAGATATAATAAGAAATTGTGTAAAGTATATTTTCGTTATATCTCTATATCAATATTTTGTTTAATAAACACTTGCAATATATTTTTTTTATTTTAAAATAATCCTTGTTCTTTTTTATTTAACTGTAATTGCATACTCACTGATGGACCAGTTATTAGTAAGAGGCAACGGTTGACTATTTAAATTAAAAAATAAGCTGAAGAATTAAGGTATTCAGCCTATGCCTGCCAGCCTATAATTTTCCTGCCATATCGAAATGAAAGAATACTTCTATTTGAGCCAGGACGAAGTTACCACTAGTTTATTTTTAATTTTTTTACAAATTCTAAATTATTGTGAGCTACTTCTAGGTTTCAAAACAAATTTAGAGAACTCGGCTCTTATGCTGAGTTCGCTAAAATTAATAAATAGACATACTTATTTTATAGAATATCAAATACTATTAGTCTAGGGAAATATATCTTATTAAAATAAATAATAAACAATTAATTAAAAATATTATTGTATATTTGTCAACCGAATATTAAAAAATATCTTAAGATATTACACTTAGTAATATTTTTTGTATTTAAAACTTGTTAACATGTAGGCCTATGTTATTAAATAAATCCTTAACTTTGTTTTTATATTGTGAATTTTATGAACATTAAATTCAATAATAATCTACTATATAACATGCTTTACGCAAAGAGACCGCAAACAACGCATACAATATTATCTTTTCAATTAATTTTATGCATTTATTAATAAGTCATTGTATTTGCGGTTTTCCGCGTTCTCTTTGATGAAGCTTAATAGTGTTTCAAATGAAACAAATACTTACACATTGCACCGCTTATTTCTAAAGTTCTAATATACATACAACATAATAGCATTAGTTTACAAAATATATCAGATAACTAAAATAGTGTGTGATGCTTTGATATGCAGTAATGTATGTCGTCGTACTTCGCATATTCTATCAAGAAAGAGAATGAAAGCTATACAATTATTAACAGTACACAAAAAAGATTTAAATTTTTTAATTCATCGATTCAAATATTGTTTGAAAGATAGTCAAATTGCTGTCTTTCCATGAAATACAATATCAATCATATAATAGTGCAATTCAAAATTATGCATCCTTATTATTATTTCAGAAACAAAACTTTTCATAAATATTTACTACAAAATACGGAATTGATAATCAGCTAAGGGAGAGTAAATTAATCATGGACTCAACACGTAGAAATTGGTTCTAAATATAATGAGAATTCGTTTTATTTCTATATTACCTTCAACGTCTTAACTTGAAAAAAACATAGAAATAATGGCTCGTTTTTCACATACTATTCCACTATAAATGGCTTATAATATAAAAATAGTGTACCGTTAAAAAATAGTTTGTAAAATATATAGTAATAATATAAATGCTATACAAATGAAAATTTTATGACATAAATATTTAGAATACACGTCATTTTCCCTAAAGTTATATCACTAATATCAGACGGATGATGTACGATATCGACTATTTGAAATATATCAAAAATGAAGCGAACTTAAGATATTTAGTTTTAGTACATTTCAAAGCAGCGCCACAAATAAATTGCAATGATCAACAATTATAATAGCAAAATATAAACTATAATAAAGTTTACAATAAAATATGCTAACTCACGTAAATATTAAATATGTATTGACATAACATTATGACTAAGACTAAACAATGTTACAAAAATTAGAACCGTGATATGATATCTAATCTACATTTGTATATAATAAATATAATTTAAATTAAAATTGACCCCTCGTTTTATATTTGAGCGGTTTTAAAGCTGCATAACAAAAACAATATATGAAGAGATACAGCTGTGATAACGTTTAAATGAACGTAGGTGTATCTCATACTTTAAGTAGATTTTTAAGAAATTTTAATGTAACAAACAATATTTTTTTATCAAAATTACACGTAGAAAATCGTGGAAAAATGTCAACTAGCACAATATACCTAATTTAGAAAAGGCCTTTATGGTGAGAGAATACACATCCGGATTGTTAGTAAAAATACTAATAAGAAAAACAGTAACATGGAAATGTGTCTAGTTGTATATAAAATCGTATAGGCCTGTAGGACAGCGAAGTATCTAAAGCGCCTCACTCCTTGGACGAATGATTGTTGGTGTCTTCAGTCTTATCTCCGTCACCGTAGAACTTTGGCTGTAAATTGGAAATAGAAATGTCACAATAAATTTTGAAAACAAAGCATCGTGGTTTTGTACAGCAAAAACTCAAAGACATTATTTATTACATTAGGGAATGCACGAATATAAAAAAAAAACAACTATATGTATTCAGAATTCAAAGATTCATCCAACTGAACAACTGTGCCCTTCATGCATAGTATATAAATGTATGTAAAAAAATGTTGAACATAAAAAATACGTATAACAATAGTGTGCATTTATTATTTTGTAGATTCAGGTTAGATAGATAAAGTAATACCGGTTCATTCAATTCAATATATCCGCTAAATATGAATGGATTTTGACTATTTCCAATAAATAGTAAAAAAAGTTTAATATGATTTCCATATTTTAAATGTCAAGATATTAATTTTTTTTTGAAGTAATTTCTTATTAACTAGTTCAGTAAACTGAATAAGCGAGATTGCTCCTACTTATTCAATTATTTTTTAATAAAAATAACTGAACAATCAGAATAACAATTCTCGAAACAGTACTTATCGAATGGAAGTACATATTGGCGTAAAATAAAGCAACACACGGAATTTAAAATACAAAATTATATTTTGATTAGAGAAGAAAACCGATGAACAAAAACCAACACAAAATGATTAGTGAAAAACACACACAATAAGTTTGTGGCTATAAACAATTGCACAGTAATGATACAAGTGTTTTTCACATAAGAGTTCATTTCGCCGAGGAACATAAAATTAGGGCTGACCATGTTTTCTAAAAAGGATAGTATATACATACCTAAAATGTATCTCTGAATTTTTTAGTGATTCTGATTATATTAATGATATGCAAAAGCCAAGGAATTATTTCGTGACACGTATATACGTATATAAATATAGCTATATACTATATATACTATAGTATATAAATTAAATAAATGTGCTACATTAACATTTAAATATATGTAATACCAAAAAATAAATCATGTCTACGTGTATTTAATGTACAGTTGTGTTCATTGTTTTTATCTTAATACAAAAGAAACAGATTATATTATATAAAGACCTTTTAAATGGTGTTTTTAAATATAGATTTTGAGAATTAGTCTTCATACAAACAAACCTAAATTTTAACTTTTCTAATATATTAGAGAAACTGTGAAAATTACTCCTTACATATCTGTCGGAGTTATCAAAAAGTAACTCTAAATATGTTGATAATCTGATTAGTTATAATATTAATGTCTGTAGCTATATCAGTTTATTAGTTTTTAATTTTGTCCTGCTATAATATTATAACAATGATATAAAAATGAACTCTTTGAATGCATATAATTTATAATACCTTTACCCATTCAAACAATGTAAATGTCGGAGATATTATAAACCATGACTAATACATCTGTGTGTATTATTGTAACAATTTACACAGATTTTTAAATCTATTTTTTCCTTCCGTATATAAAACTCCAAATAGAATGATGAATGACATTGAGCTTCAACATTTATGTGGAAAGGGAAAATAAAGCATCGAGTGCCTCGTTAGCTATAAAATGTAGCCATGGTCATGAAAAACAACACATCAAAATCAAAACACTAAATCCAAACTAAGGTATGATCATATTCCATCAATATGTCACTTACACAAACTTATTTTGTACTATACAGTTGTCACTTTTTTTCCGAATCCATTTTTCACACCATTATAACTTGTAAACCCCTAAAAATAGATAATTTATAGATTTCAATAATTAATATTTATATAGATAATATGGAATAACTGATACTTAATAATGATGGTATAAGTAACGAAATGACAGTTAAAAGTTATAATTATAACATTGATAACAAGATACTTAATAACATAAATACTAAATAATTAAATTACTACTTTAATGCAACTTACATACTATACGGTTAGACATAATTACTAATCATAAAAAAATTACTAAATCACGTCAATATTTTATACATATATACTTAGAGGTAACCAATAAACCATTTATTCTTTATTTCGCATGAAGATTTCATAAAACTCATACATATGAGGTTTAGGTTTAAATCTCCTACGGATATTTCTACAATTCAAACCCTACTTGCTTTGTATACTAATGGTTTGAGGACTTTGATGGATTTCCCGTATTTCTATAGTGCATACTCACACTTGGACAGACATTTTTTTTTATACCACAATCACGTTAAAATGTACATATATTATAAATATATGTAATACAGGCAACGATTGTATTGAATTAAATATTTCAATTAGATGTACCAACCTCATCGTGCTTCTCTTCTTCATTGGCACGCTCATCATCATCCTCACTGTCATCATCATCAGGTGATGAGTCGCCTCCGGAGCCTGCAGTGTCTGGCACTGGTTTTGCTGTAATTTCATAAATACTTTATGATCAAGCTGTTCCCGAGACTTCGTCAGCGTGGAATTTAACTTATTTTTTCTAAAATAACAGTAGCCTAAATTACTCCTTATTACATCAGCTACCTGCCAAAAAAAAGTCCCGTCAAAATCGGTCTAGCCATTTCAGAGATTAGCCGGAACAAACAGACAGATATACAAAAATTGTAAACAATGTTATTTTGTATGTAGGGGAGACCGGGGCTACAATTAACAGAGGTAAGTATTAACAAGCTAATTTCTCTAAAACTATACATACTAAACATATAACGCCTGCTTCAAGTCGTCACCTAGATCACGCCACGTGACTCGGGATTGGTCAGTTGTGCATCGCGCGTTGTGCGACTGAGCTGTGTATCGGACCACTTTATTACGCAGGTAACGAACATTTTTAACTTTACAATTTTTTGATTTATGCTCACAATATGTGGCATAATATGATGTTTTTTGTTTTCCTAGCAGTATATTTCATACTTAATAATGCCATATAGCTCAATTGACAAGATTTTTATAAAATATTTTTATTATGTTATTTAAAACCAAAAATGTACCCTTGGGGCTAAAATTAACAAATCGGCGGGGTAAGTATAAACGTATTAATATATACCGATATATCCGACTGTGTACCTATGTTTTAATTTCTTTTTTCTTACATTTTATTACAGAATGAGAACATACAAACGTAAAACTACTCGAGGAACCAAATCCTTAGAGGTCTATGAGTTGGCTGCGAAAGAAGTTATGGAAAAAGGTAGAAATTATAGAGATGTAGCTAAAGAATTCCAGCTCTGCCACGTTTCTGTCTTCAACTTTGTCAAAAAAAAGAAAGCGGGTGCACCAGCAGTAATGGGTTACAAGAAAACCCGCCTAGTCTTTAATGCTGAACAAGAAGCAAATATAGCAGAGTATTTGTTAAAGTGTGCTAATATTTATTTCGGATTACTGCCCGCAGATGTAAAGAGATTAGCATATCAATGTGCTAAGTTTTATAATGTTGAGAGGGTACCAGATTCCTGGAAAGTTAATGAGATGGCGGGTAATGACTGGTTTACTAATTTTATGAAGAGAAATCCCAGGTTAGCGATACGAAGCCCTGAGGCCACCAGTTTAAGTAGAGCTACTTCATTCAATAGAACCAACTTGAAAAACTTTTTTGAAAAATACAGAAACGTATTGGAAAGATACAGTTTTCAACCATCCCGGATTTGGAACGTTGATGAAACGGGTATTACTACCGTTCAAAAGCCTAAAAAGATTGTTGCTGGAAAAGGCATAAAGCAGGTAGGCGCTGTAACATCAGCTGAAAGAGGTGTACTAGTTACGCTTGAAATTGCGACAAATGCTATTGGCAATGCTATACCCTGTATGTTTGTCTTTCCTCGCATTCGTTATAATGACATATTTGTTAGGAATGGACCACCAGAATGCATAGGAGTTGGAAACCAGTCGGGCTGGATGACTCAAAAAGAGTTTATAAGGTTTATTTATCATTTTATTCATCATGTGAAGCCGTCAAAAGAAGATCCTGTTTTACTCTTACTGGAAAATCACAGCTCACATATAAATGTGGAAGTAGTAAACAAGGCAAAGGACAACAATATTGTTTTGTTGTCATTTCCTCCGCATTGCTCTCATAACCTACAGCCTCTCGATGTTGGAGTCTATGGTCCACTGAAAAATTATATTAGTAAAGCACAAACTTCTTGGATGAGTAGTAACCCCGGAAAAACTATGTCCATCTATGATCTCCCTGCCATTGTTAAGGAAGCGCTACCATTGGCATTAAATCCTATGAATATAATTAACGCCTTCAAAAAATCTGGCATCTGGCCATGTAACGAAGATGTCTTTCAAGAATCTGACTTTGCTCCATCATTTGTCACGGACCGTCCAGATCCCAGCAATCAAAATCAGTCACTTGTTGAGAATGAGGTCAATGATGATGATCTGACATTAAATTCATATGACAAAATGTGCTCTATACACTTCTATATTGATTTCACTTTCATTAATAAAAAATAATGTCATACATATATTTGTTTTTTTCATATTCGTTAGTATAACATGACGTTAATACTTACCTCAGAGCTGTTAATTCTAGCCCCAAACACGGGGTAAGATTTAACATGCGACTTGTTTAAGAAAAAAAAAATTATATTTAAGGCATCGTTTATTTTATGTTTGATTTAAGTTAAAAATATGATACCTGAATAGTTACAGCACATGTGACCTAAAGATCAGATCTAAACGTTGGAAAATTTCGGAGCTACAATGAAAAATGCAAATTTTGTTAATTGTGGCCCCGGTCTCCCGTACCGTATTTAGATTTATATGCATGTAGTAAAAAACGGTTATTTCAATATTACAAACACAACAACAACATATAAAAAAAAATTCCACATAATTTTAGACTTTGTAATAGCCCTTTAAAAAACACAAATGGAGAAAAAAATACGCACAGTAAAATGGAAGTATGAATTATAAACTATGCACTAACTATTCCTAGGTAGACCTAGGTAGTTTGTGAGTACCTACCTCGCTTTCTACGAAACAACGAGCTTTGTAAGTTGTCTATCAGATTAATGGGTATACCTTACCTTACCGTACCTTCGTATTTAGGAATGGCAAAGTCATCTCTTGACAATGTGACATTCGGGGTGCTATACGCCTTATATAATATTATATCGTAACTTCAGTTGCATAAAAAAGTTGTTATATCTAATAGTGATATATAATATAAAAGAACACATACATGGGCTGTTGCTTAGATTTGGCGGCTGGTTAGGCGGGCGGACGCGCTCTTTGCTGAGCTCGTCAAAGCACTGTAGGCACACACGCAGAGGTTTGTCGCTCTGGCCACGCAACAAGAACTTCTTGGACGAACACGGCCCGCACACCACAGAGCCACATTTGCGACAATGATGCTGTTGAATAAAATATATTAATATAAATAATAATATATTTTTTAATTCTAAATATTTATATACATAATTATAATTAATGAATTTATATTACTTTGTGTGATGCCACAAATATTGTGTGTAAGTGTTGAAATTTGACCACAAACTATGAGAAATGGCCCTTCGTTACTAATGATAAATTTACGACCGTTACTAACTCTATATTCATATTGCAAGTTCAAATATGAGACACCTTCGGTGTTAATAGAGGAGTTCGAATATAGATTGGAAGCCTAATGTTGACTGTTCGGTGTCTATGCTATGAAAAAATCTACTGAAAAACTGACGAGAAATCTTCAATCTGAGTGATATGGAGTGCGCTGAATAAAAATTAAGAGTTACACTAAAATAATGTATGGTGAGATTGTTTATCTTAAATAGTTAGTTAAGTAATAGTAAAAACACATGACAGCATATATCAATCATTTATTTGGAAGCCAATATCGGCAAAATAGTGAAAATAAAATTTATTAATTTTTTGTTGTTGTGAAAAATCGGACGCTATTGTGAATAATTTAAATGTTGTTGTTCTTTATCAATAAATGTATATAAAAGTAGAAGATAAACATAAAGTATACGACTATAAATATAAACATACTTTAATTTTTTTTAAAGCAAAGTATACATGAATTTTTATGAAAATAAGTACGTCTACAATTTGGATTGGAAGTCAGTTCTCTCTGTCTACCATAATCGTGGGTGAATATATAAATAAATTGATAAGAATATGTTTCGAATGTACAAATAATGATTAAGGACAAATCGTATTATTTTTTTAACAGAGCGTACGTTACGATGCCGTTATTGTCAGTAAACGGATGCTTATCATTGGCTTATCGCGTTTTAGTACGAAGTGATAACGCGTTAGGGCATACTTAGGTATATAGGATGCTTATAAAAATTATGACTAATTTTTAAATATCGGAAACAGAATTGCCTTGATTCGAAAGACATGTTTTGTGTCGATATATATCTACATCCATACTATATAATAAATGCGAAAGTGTCGGTCCGTCTGTTATCTTATATTGACTCAATGGTTGAAAGAAATTTATGAAATATTAAAACCTTCTGTTTACCTTATTTCAAGTAGTTTCAGAAAGTTTGTGCAGACGAAGGTGCATATAAAAACAATTTTTTTTCAATGAACAATTGTAAAGACTACATCATACGGCATAATATAATATAATGTATTGCACTACCATTACTCGCTATCACCACTCTCACAGTTTGTATAACAATATTAATTGTTTAATGTTACAAGTGCAATGCAATAATAACCACACAATCGACATTATTTTCCTGCTTTTATACCTTCATTATTTGGGGTCGGCGTGACATATAGTCATCCATATTACTATAAGTTTCCGGTTATTGTTTTACGAGATTTCTCCTGCGACATTATCTGAGTTATTACTATTTGTTTTTATATTCTTATTAAATATAAAAGATAAATTGTGTTTGCCTTTTTTGTATCAATCTATATATCTTTCATTAAGCTATAATTTGTGGAAAGGTAACGAATAGTCAAATCATTATTATAATAGAGCCATTCAGTTAACTTTTATTTGTATTTCAGCAAGACTCTACGCAACTGGACTGGATTTAAACAGATATGCATTTTTTTAAATAGTAAGTATTTTAGTAAAAGTTGGATATCCATCATGTAGACAAAAAATCTCTAAATTTGGTTTTGATTTGAAAATAAAGTATATTAAACAATCTTGGATATAACATTTTAAACTATTGTATTAAATTTGATCGGTAGGTCTTTAAGAAAATGTAATGAGGTAAATAGAATATTGTACATACCCTTCTGTTGAGGACAGTGAATTGTGTCTTCTTGCAATGCATACAGATAGAGGCTTCATTGTCAGGTACCCACACGGCAGCATGTTCTGATGGTGGTTGCTTGCCACCTGTTGCCGATAATAGTAAAAATAAAAAAATATACATATAAATATGTACAGGGTCAGTCGGAAGTGTCGTCATACGCCTCGGTCTAACCTATTTCAGCTGGTAAGCAGCTACGTTTCGGTTGTAAAGTGCAGATTAGACAGTGAAATTACAGGATAACAGGCATGCCATCTTTGAGATGGCAACGATTGCCGATTATAATCAGCTGGGTCGTCAACTTGTTTTAATTCCGATAACATATAAGAAATGATAACTAATCTCTTAATTATCTTAATTTTATATTATCTATTTATACATGTAGCAAATTTGAATTATGAAACTACTTGGGATATCTTTTTAACTAAAAAAAGGAGTAAATAATTGACAAACTAATAACAAAAAAAGTTGTTCGTTAGTTTGTAGTTTGTTTTTCTTTGAACTCTATTTTAAAATGATTAATTTACGATAAAGATTCACACGATATAGACTAGCTGAGATTTGATACAATGTATAATATTAGTTAGATATACTTGGTAGGAAATAATGAATAAAGCTTTTATGTGACGAAACTTACTTTTTCGTAGCAAGTCCTCTATACATTTGTCTATATGTGCCATCCATTCCTCTTTCTCAGTGGCTGTGGCGGCATAAACTGCGAACGACTTAGACGCAGTGCGAATTAACCAGCCGTTGCGGTTATCTGAAATACAAACGACATATTGAACCATGACAACTTCGTAAACTAATATTTTGTTCAGACTATGAACGTGGATGGATGGTAAGGCAGAGAGAAAGAGAGAGAGAACGCCCTAAAAAAAGATGTATGGTTTGTGTGAAAGCAAATTAAAGTATGTTCAGATATGACGGCCGATAGAGATCAGTGGAAGAGAGGTCCCCGTTATACACAACACACCTAAAAACCTTCCGTAAGAAATTGTTTAAATAATTGCTAAAACATTGAAGTATAAAAATCCATTGCATTGTTTTTAAAAATGTATTAATAAAATATTATATATATTGTTTTTATTTTAGAAAGTCATATCATATTGTAATAGATTTTTATTAACAAAATTATATGTTACTAGTTGACCCGCGAACCTTCACCTGCGTCATATTTTTCCCGTTTTTGCAACATTTTTTATTAGAGCTCCGTTTCTATTGGTCATACGTTATATTGTATATACACTCGCATATAACGCGACTTTCTATTGGTAAAAGTATTTTCAAAATCGGTTCAGTAGATCCATAGATTACTTCTACAATCTCAGAAACTTTAACTCTTTATAATATTACTATAGATTTCAGATACTATACTGATAATGAAACCAATATTATTAACATCATTAGACGATATAATTGTTTTTATGTAAATAAAGGAGTTCATTCAATTATCAGTAGATATAGCACTCAGTACTATATATATATATATATATAATTTCACATACACTTTGATAAAGTACTTATATTTAAAAAGAATAAATACACTTATCTTTTAGCCTTAAACTAGCACGAAACCTTGAAACCATCATACAGCAACGTGTTTGTCATTAGTAGGGTCTAGTAATAAATGTCTTGCTATTTAGAACGATTATTCTGTCTTCATATTGAAATTAATCAAAACACAATTACTGATTTTATGTATAGTTTCATATAAAAATAAACAGTCGCGAGTTGTATTTGTAGAAAATTGTCAAATAATAACGTGCATTTCTCTTTGACACAGTGTTGAACCGACAACAATGAATTTGTAATATTTTTATTAATATTTTATAACAAAAATATGAGTTTAACATATTATATAGCTATTTTAACCTCCAACTCATTTAATTATTCCAAACAAACTCTAATATTTCATGTTGTCATCACTGATCTAACGAGTTAACACAACTTTATTGAGTTTTACATACGACGGTCGTGAGTTCAATTCCGCACACTGTACAAACCTTTTTTATTCATGAGCGTGATTGCTTCCATCATTCTGGTTGTTTTCTATGTATATTATGGCTATATACACGAAAAATATATTTAAATATTTCTAAGAATTGTCTTAGTACCCAATAAACCTCTGCTTATCTTAGGAATAGATGACGCTGTGTGAATTATCCAGGGTTAATAACCCTTTAATGTGAACGTTATTATTGATGTTTTAGATATAAAAAATTATAAATACACATAAATATTTAGTATTATACACAGGAATGACATTTGTTTATGGATAATCTAAATAACTAGTTCATGGACACCTGTAGACATAGTTAGGAATTATAGTATTTCATGGATTTATATCAACTTGTGTGGTAAATTAATCAAAGACAAAAAATACAATGAAATGTCAAAAGATTTTACAGGCATAAATAAACATACTAATACTATGTTAAAGTCTGATGAATTTGTAGGATATATATAGTATGAAGATAGAATATCTTTTACCTCAAAAAGCAGAAGGCAACAGCTAGTATAGCATAAGCAATAGTACTCCACAACAAATAGTAATATAATACTACCAACATTATGAGGAGTACAGAATATGATTCATTGTCATTTTATACGTATATATCTATGATTTGTATGTAGAACTCTGATAGTAGTACAAAGTGAGTCACACTTCCAAAATGACTCAGTATGTAATTTTTTATAATTATCATAATAGACATTATTTACTTTTTTTACTACATAGGTAATAATTAGGCATTTCTCAAAAGTATATATAGTTATTAGTTATATAATTAAATGCAAATTCTGGTGGTGTCAGTTCAACATACTATGTCAGTGGTGCCCAATTAGTTTTTGCTACGTACCACTTCAAAAAAAGACCTCAAAGCTTGCTTACCCCTTATTGCAAGCAATCACACTAATATTATAAATGTGAAAGTTTGTCAGTGTGTGTGTATGTTTGTTTTACTAATAATCGCAACTTCCAATACCCCTGGGGGTATGAATACCACTATTTGGGAAACACCATACTATGTGATAGTTGTAGTAGTTACAACACCAGTATAGAATGGTTGCAGGTTGAATAACTACACTTTAATAATCTCCATATTTGAATATAAAAATTAATCTGTATCTGTAAACATGTACATTTATTTGAAAAGAATATGAGTTGAGTTTCATGTCAGTTCTTCTCATGTCAAAACCATTCCAAACTGATAGTTGATTAGACATCATGAGAGTTTGTAATAGTCCTACATGTATAAAGATATTTTGAATTTGAAATATGAATTAATAATTTGTATTAAATTTATTTAATTTAGTTTAATCAATAAATACATTAATATATATAACATATACTTTTTATATAATATATAATCTTTCAATTACCTAAAATTAATTACATTAATACATACAATAAAAAAAAACAGATAAAAGAAAACCTAAAAGTTAATTGCTATGATTGTCCCGTATTGTACCCGGCTTAAAGGTTCCCATAACGCTCGCAGCATTTCCACATTGAATTGCTAGGGAAATCCTTTGCGCCAGATATTTGTATTTATAAGCAGAATATGTCTCAAAGTTAAAGGCAACATAATTTATTCACATATATAGCACATTTAGAATAAAGAAATAAAAGCGCGTCCCATATTAGTTAAAATGGTCCGACGCGCCAAGAAAGAAGAAATTATAAAGGCTAGTAAAGCTCATAAAAAACTTACAACAGAAGGAATAAAGGACGGACTGCCTAAACCGGTGTACATCAATGAGCGTCTCACTCGAAAGAATAAACAGTTATTTCGAGAAGCCAGACTACGCTCGAGGAAGTACAACTTTCAATTTTGCTGGGTTCGGAACGGCTTTATATATATCCGGCAGTGTGAAAAGAAGCCGGCATTTCGTATACAGTGCTTCGAAGATGTTGATGAAAAAATTGGCCCTGCACTTGACTTACATGTGTCCCTCTAATGGTGGTAAAATGCTTGTTAGTTCTGTATATATGATTGTAATAATATACTTTCAGTTATTTCATAACTTAAAATATCCTATAAGAAATACACTTTATCCTTCATTACTTTACATAATAACAGCTCATAACATTTCTTACACACATAAAACAAATCATACATCTTTCTCACACTATACAAAAAACGTTCAGAATCAGCATAAAATAATCCAAAACATATCACACTCCAGACAGTTCTCTCAGCATGTTTCAAAAATTTACTGGCTCTCAAGAGTAAATATAAATTTATTACAATTTAAAAAAATTAAACCAAAACGCCTGATCCACTTTTAGATATAGATAGTTTACTATCTATTAAATGTTTTACTCTTGAGAAACCTGAAGAATTCTCATCCTATTTAACATCTGAGTTAGATTTTAAAGTCCTTACCTTAAATATAAGAAGCATTCAGCATAACGTAGATGATTTCCTGGTGACTCTTAGCAGATTTAACTTACCGTTTGACGTACTAATTTTAACAGAATGTTGGATAAACGATAACACTATTATTCCTGAAATTCCGGGTTATCGAGCCTATGCAACAAAACATGGAATTAACAAAAGTAGTGGCATAACTACCTATGTTAGAAATATTTGGACCCCTACCGTTCATGAACCACAGTGTGACGAATGTAATTTCATAGCCATTTCAATAGAGAATATATTTATATTAGGAATATATCGTTCTCCATCTTTTACAAATATCGACAAATTTTTGCTTTCTTTAAATAACATTTTGGAACAACAAAAAAATAAAAAAACTATCATCCTAGCTGGTGATACGAACATAGACATTCTCAATAACAATTCGACTCCAAATTTAATAGAATATACTTGTCTTATGGCAGAGCATCAACTTATTCCTGCGATAACTGAACCCACTCGCAATAAAGCATGTCTAGATCACATATACATAAAAAATCCATCGAGATCAGCCTTGGGATTGGTATGCAGGAGCAATATCACCGATCACGACATCTGCGTTGCCGGTCTTGCCACTTCATATATATCTCAAACCACTGACAAACAGTTACGACGTAAAATCAACACAGAAAGTTTGCAATCTGAACTTGCTGCAGCAGACTGGGGCGCCGTTTTGGATTGTCAGGATGTTGATCAGGCTGTTGGATGTTTCTCACATATCCTGGAGAATGCAATACAGAAAAATTCAGAACTTGTTGTTGTAAGAAGGTCTTGTAGAAACATAAAACCTTGGATTACACCAGGATTAATGAGATGTCAAAAAACACGAGACAAGTTACACATCCAAGCCAGGACGAATCCCCTAGACCCTACAATACAAACAACCTACAGGCGTTATCGTAATTTCCTTACGGAACTATTATTTAGAATCAAAAGGAAATATAATAGTGAACGCATCTGTATTAATAAAAACAATCCCAAGAAGCTCTGGTCAACAATCAAGGACATTTGTGATATTTCGCCTAATAGACAAAGCAACGCAAATGAACTTACAAAGTTAAACTCAGATCCAGTCCAATCCTTAAACATCACAAATAAATACTTCACAACAATAGGTGAAAACTTGGCTGTCAGAACTATGACTAAACTCAATGCAGAAGAATCAGATTTACTCTCAAAAGTGTCAGTTCTCAAATCACCTTCGACATCCCTGTTTATAGGACCCACCGATAAAATAGAGGTCGAATCACTTATTAAAGGGCTAAAAAATGATAGCGCTCCCGGGGATGATGGTTATAGCTCATCGTTGATCAAAAAGGTACATTATATTATTCTTGATCCGCTGGTCCATATATTCAATCTTAGCATTCTGAAAGGTAAATTTCCTGATCGATGGAAACACTCATTAGTCACTCCAATTTACAAAGACGGTAGTAAAAATATTCCTGCAAATTATAGACCAATCTCGCTCCTAAGCATTTTTTCTAAACTACTTGAAAAAAATTATTAATAAACGTCTTGTAAATTACTTAGAAAAACACCAGATTATTTCGGAAAATCAGTTCGGTTTTAGAAAAGGTGCCTCTACAGAAAACGCCGTCTCCCGTCTAACAAATATCATCTCTACTTCTCTGGATCAAAAAGATTGCTGTATTGGAGTCTTTATTGACTTAACAAAAGCCTTTGACACGGTCTCACCTTCTATTCTGTTAAAGAAATTGGACTATATCGGGATCAGAGGCATTCCTCTAAACTGGTTTAGCAGTTATCTCACTGGTCGTTCTCAGTCTGTCAAAGTCGGCTACATTGCTAGTAATCCATTATCAATAAACCTAGGAGTACCCCAAGGAAGTATACTCGGCCCAACCCTGTTTACAATTTATATAAACGACCTTTTACAGCATCCATCATTTGAAATGAATATAACAGGATACGCTGACGACACAGCGATTCTCTTCAGAGGGTCATCTTGGGAAGAAACTCGTTCGCTTGCTGAAGAAGGCATGACACATCTTGTAGACTGGCTTCACCGAAATTTATTAACTCTAAACACAAATAAAACGACTTACCTGGCTTTCCACAAAACAAATGCATCTGCCCCCAGACAACTTCTTCCAATACCTATACACACATATCCGTGCAGAAATCAAACCAGAAATTGCAACTGTGAAACAATAAAAAGATCATATACGATAAAATACTTAGGAATAGTACTAGACGAAAATCTATCTTTTAAAAAACAGATATCTTGTCTATCTGCACGACTAAAAAAGATCATATATATAGTAAAATCTCTCAGACAATCAACTCCACTTGATGTCCTCAAGATGGTGTATATTTCCCTGTGTCAGTCAATTTTAATTTATTGTATAGCTGTCTGGGGTGGATCTAATAAGTATGTTTTTATTGAAATTGAGAGAGCACAACGGGCAGTCCTTAAAGTAATGTTAAATAAACCTTTTAGGACTGCAACAGATATAATTTATGAAACAGCACAAGTGCTACGTGTACGTCAACTTTACATTTGGCGGGTTATATGCCTACAGCACAAAAAAGTAGGGACCATGATCGAATACGAAGCCTTGTTACAAAATCGTACTTTCAGAATTCCTCTACCCTCGATTCGCACCACATTTGCCAAGCGTTTGCCACTGTTTTCCCATCCGTACATATATAACTATCAATAAGAAATGCACAATTGCAAAACTATCCATGCATCAAGTCAAAAAAACTACAAAATGCTGGCTGATGAAACTAAATTATGACGAAACAGAACAAATACTTCCAACTTACGGCTAACACACAGTTCTGCAAATTGAACACACACACACACACACACACACACACATATTCATACATACACACTCTCATTCACACCAATGCTCACCTTTTCGATTATACATCCACAAATTTATTCCCTACATTTTACACACAAGTCCCATAGCTATTAATACAAAGGGTAAACATGTAAAATGAACACAATAATAAGTCACTCCAGTCTCTACAATACAGGCCTGCGAGCCTAGTGTAGAACTACAGTAAATTAAAATGTAAATGTGTATCATGAATAAATATTATTATTATTATTATTATTATTATTTAGTTACTTCTACACACAATTTTTCTAAATCACTATGCCCTAACCGCTAGTGTGTTTATTACATGCTTAAAAGATAGACAAACTTTTTTGTAAATTAACAAATAAATTGTTCATGTCTATCAGTTATGTAGTACCACTTTACTTAAAATAACAGTTCCTTAATCTATTTAACAGAAACACTTATTTTATTATTCACCATATTTCTTTTGTTTGTTTATCCAATTTATCTATACTACATCAATGCTTACTTCCTACTGATAAAGTTATGTTAATAGTTTGTAATTTACACAAACTTCAATCTATTATTCATTATTTCTATGTGACAATAGAATATTATATCATACTTACATCCTTCATCTTTCAGTGATTCCAGCTTCACTTCTTCAAGTGGAATGACATGTTGTTTATTGTATTTCTTTTTGTTTATAACAATGTTGCCATACACCAATATATCATTGAAGAGGAAGAATTGACGTGATTTAGGTTTCTTTCGACACATCTTTGTAAGGACGCCCTCTCCCACGAGGACCCTGCCTTGTTCTGCTAATTGCTAAAATGTATAAAATTTCATGTTCATATAACCATGTAGACTAAATTATTAAGTAAGGGAGGTAATTATAATAAGTAGCATGTAATGATTGTCTTATAGTTTTTCATAAAATATATACAATTTGTAATTTTTCCATACTATCAACAAAAAAGAAATAAATTATCAGAGTACAACTTTACTATCAAAATTATTTATATTATCACATATTGATATATTAAATTAAATAGTTTCTAAGCCTTGTGACTTAGATGATATTTATATTGCTACCTCACCAAGAGTGACATGTAACAGGTATTTTTAATAACACTGTGACACCCCAACATTTCTCAAGTATTGCTACTTCAAACTGAAACTACTATTACTGTTTTATTAATCTGGTGTCAGTGATAATATAGGTTTTCCTGCCCTTTATAGTATGAGTATATATTGATGTCATGTCAGAATGTTGAGTTGAGTCATTTAGAGTCCTAATATATGGAAAAGTATATATTAATCCTAATTGTTATGTGCATTCTCTTAAATGATGTGCTTAAAAAAGAAAAGTCAACAACGGATTGTCACATGCATGACACAATATGATATTGGTTTTGTACATCAAGCCAAATATGTTTTATACCACAAGTTTTTTGATAACGATTATTAGTGTGTACGCGATATGCAGTGAGTTACAATAAACGTATTGAACACTTTATCTTTGTGCGAGTTTGACGCTTGAACTACAAAGTTTCAAAGTTATTTTCAATTCAGTTACAAAATACGAGATGCGTTACCTGGCCTGAACTACCGAAGCAATTTTCCACCATTGCAATTCTTCTCGAATTGGCTTCACTATTTACTGGAATAAGGAAAATAATTACAGTTTGCCGCACAGTATTAAAGTTTGACGTAAAAAGAAAGTCAAGAAATTTACAATGACATTAATCACGCAATTCGAACTGTTTTAGTCTCACAAATACTGATCGTGTACATTTACACGTTTCAAATGATCTATATACATTTGTAAAACTTACCTAAACGGTCCACCATTATTAGATATTTATTTTATAAATAATAGGCAATAAAAATGAAAGACTTTATAGAGTAAAACTAAAATGTGTCACAGACTATCAGAGACAGACACATAATGTTACAGTCACAGAACAGATAAGGCGAAAATGTCATGCAGTATTAATTGATTTGACGTTTTAGCTGACATGACAGGTTACGAAATAAAATCCAATAAACACTGAGAATAATTTAATCTAGAATCTAGCTTAAATTATATTTTCAGTGACTACTGGGTTTTATTTATATATTTTAGATGAACGTAAAGAAAATAACATAGAATTATAATTTAGTAACTTACTCATTTCGTCTCGTTCCAACTTTGCAATAAAAGAAGAAGAATTAAGAATAGATATATTTTTTTACATTAGACATCTTTATGAAGATGACGATCCCTTCCAGTTAAGCCTGCCGAGGATATATTTAGCTGGAAGGTACTTAATCGAAAATCCGTCAGAAAGACCATAGACAAACTCAAAGAGCAATGATGATCATGTGAGCTATTTTTTTTTTTACACCACCTGACACTTCATGGTCGATATTTTATTAACTAGTATATTTTCTTCGTATATTATAAATTATTACTAAACTTATAAAATGGGTATGAAATTCTGTGGCCCTAAGCTTTCCTTGTGCGGGCTCGTTTTGAGCGTCTGGGGCATTATTCAGTTGGTAAGTGGTATCACTATGCACTTTAATTTGTTTGCTCATAGCATTATTGTTCTTTAGAATCTATCAACTATTTTGGCTTTCAGACTTTGATGGGCGTCTTCTATTATATCCAGGCAGTAGCACTGCTTGAGGATATTCCAATAGACGAGGAAGACACCCATACGATTTCCGGTTTTATTTCAGCAGCTGAAAATGGATACACTCAGGTGAATCATTACATTAGTTATTAATTAACAACTTCTATTCTTCTTATTATTACTCTATTTTAAGCAATGATCTAAGACTAATTATAAAATATTTATATGAATCTAATGAGTAAATTAGATTAAGAACATACTTGTTAATAATTGATTATTGAGTATTGAGACTTACTGTTAGGTAATGAATTAGAAGCATTGTGTATTTAAAAATTCTTAATATATTTTTGATATTGAGTCTAATACTCGGGTAGCAACATACTAACCAGGAGTGTACTATGTAAACTTATTTTCAGATCATCAATCGTGGATAGACTAGTTAGAATTCATAGACAGTAATTTAAAAAAATGTATTATTGTTGATATGCAGTGCAATGACAAAATAGATTCATTAGCATTGTATATTTTTGTCTTTATTTATATTAATTGATAATTGAAAATTTTCAATAAGGTGAAAATATATTAAACATCAAATGATACATTTCATGGTTAATATATTTTCACCTTCCATATTCAACTGAATGTATATGTAAATCTAAAATACCACAAAAATAATCAAAACAGGATACACTTTTAAAACTAAAAGTGACTACCTAACCCAACCAGATCAAAATAAAATCCTTCATTAAATTACTTGAATGCAGTAATACTATGGTACAATTATCATTTACAATGTCAGGTTGAGCAGGTCATGGTCAGGTTGGTTGGCGGTTCCCTCTGGAAACCATTATGATAAATTCCTGGTCAATTTGTCACAACGGGTTAACTGACCTATCCTCATGTTCATTCTATCATGTTTCACTGGTGCCCCCCAGTGTAATTCATTAATGCAAACATGCAAACTATTCCATTGTTATCCACTAAAAAAAATAGACCTTTCTGTTGTAACCTTATTTTACATTTTTTTTTGTCTGTATTCATAAATGGAAGAAAGTCACTAGTACTTTAAAATAAAAATATTTTCTAACATCCATTGAATTAGTTGTGTAATTACAATTAGAATATTTTTTCTTTTTTCAGAATGCTTATAATTGCTGGATTGCTGCATTGTTATATGTCATCACATTAGTAGTTTCTGGACATCAGTTTTGGATGAACAACCGTTCCTCAGTTAGCATGTAATGGATCAAAGGAGGTGTTAATGGCAATACTCAGTGTTATGTTATGGTTCTTATAAATTATTCTCTGGTATATTACAATCAAGAACATAATTATAATGTTGAGTAGTTGACCAGTATTGTATAGGCACAATTTGTTATCTTACCTTATTGGTAATTTCATTCCATTGTAATGTATGGTATGCTCGATTCCACAACCACATTGGAAGTTTAAGTTTGGGTCAACCTAATGTCACAATTTGACCAATGTTGTGAAATCAAAATCTGTTTTCTTTTGAATGTAGTACCTAAATAAAATATGTTTAACTTATATTCATGTATTATATTTTTTATTATTTTAAAGCATATATATATAATTGGCCTAGACTTAAGTTATTAATTTGATGTACAGGCTATATGATCAATGATTAAAAATACTGTATTCATGTCCATGATAATTCATTGATAATATACTATTTTCTTAGGATTTCTCAGTTCATAGTACTAAAATATATTGTATAGTATATATCTAATGTTTATTCCTCTATGAGACTTCCTTGCAAATTTTTATCTTGCATTTAAATCAAGTAATTTATTATTACAAATCCCTCTGTACTTGAATTGTTCGAAACCTATAACATCACGGTTGCTGGTAGGTCATAACAGGGGGTTCCTGTAATATGCTCTGAGGTATCAGAGTATTTATTATAGATACAAAAAACTACATTACTACTGTTGTAACATTTATACTTCCATCAATTGTACCCATTATTAATGAAAAGTTTTGCATTCAATAATAGTCAAGACAGTTATTTTCAGAAGTATTAAAAGTTCTATAAATTGTACATACTAAATATCATAGTAGCTATACTGTAAAATGCTTAGAATTTATTGAAGTAAAGAGTATTGATGTTAATTTACATGATTTTTTATTTTATTATTTATGATGTTTACTATGTTTTCTTATTGCCTGGAGTAGATTATGACAAAAAAGTACAAACTTACTTTCGCGGTTCCTTGGCAGTAATCATGTACTATAGCAACTTTCCTATTCACCAGATTCGACCTCACGACCTGTGGAATAAAGTCGGTAGTAAAACACTGGGCTATAGAATTGTAGGTCTAGTAGGCTGTGATTCATTGGAACAAAATATTAATTTATCGTCTATCCCAAATGTTACTTCTATGTACCAAGCTTTGTATTGATTGGTTGGACTTAAAAGTACAAAGAAACACTTTCGTATTTAAGATTAATATAAATTATAAAGATTTACTTCTCTAGGTTTTAGTCTAACATCGCTAGATTGCGGCATTATTTTCATATTTTATATTTTATTAGCGAAAGTTTTGCGTAGAAAGATTCCTAATTGATGAATAAACACTTATTACTGTGTTATTATTACTATGTTACTGGGTTGATGTAATGAATGATAATAGAATAGTCGTGCCTTCATGTACCTACATAGTGGAATTTGCAGGAAATACTGAATAGGCGTTGGCACCTAATTATTCTTTTTATAACAATTATGATATGTAGTGATACAAAGACAAAATCATTTACCCCTTGCCTAAGAACAATAATTGAAGGTAGTCGTTTCAGATTTTTTTTTCCATATTTTTTCATTATATATATTCTCAAAGTTGTATTGACATTGGCATTAATTATTTGATTGAATTTATACGTTAACATTACTGGCATTTGCCGTCATTGTTCACAACACTAATAACCAAATTATAATAATAATATCATACGTATAAAACAGAAAAATGAGCGCATTAATCAACTGTGGTATTTGTTGCTTCGTCCTTAGTATATGGGGAGTTGTCCAGTTGGTATATACTTTTTCAGTTAAATAACGCAAGATTTATTTTAGGTCTATTAGGTGGTAAATAATATTCATGTACTGCCTTGATCTTACGTCAAAAATATTGGCCTGCAGTATATAGGCATTATTTAATATATTTATGTATATAGATTTGCGTATATTTGGACTTGTAAGTAATCTCAGAACCCGAGATTGCAAACAAGAATCGGATGGCTAATTGCTTTGACATAAAACTGTGATCCATACTTGTAAATGTCAAATTGTTCATACAAAATTTGCAAGCAAATTTGCAATGCGCATTGCAAATTATACAATGGGTTGCAAGGCTGCGAGTCACGTGAGCTGAATGTTTCTTCTCTGAGGGCATAAGATAGTAGTTTATTTATTACAATCATGTGATCTCTTACTGCATTAGGTTTATTTGCATGCAACTAAGGAAGACATGCAATTTTCTGTCTACAGAAAATCTTCACTTGGTAGAATTGCTAGAGTTATTTAGTTTCAAACCACGTAATCCTGTTACGAGTAGGTATGTTGGCTTTATAAAACATACCTACGTAAATTACAGTCTTTAATGGCGCTATTTTACAAGATCGAAGCGTCAATATTGATTGAAGATGTTGAAGAACACGTGTATGATGATTACGACGACTTTATAAAGAAGACTAAAAACAATTATCAGGCGGTTAGTATGAAAGTGATATTATTAAATGGTGTAGTACTTATATTACAATTTTGTGTAGCATATTATTCAAGCCAGGATCTATTTAAATCTATTAATCCGCAATGATGGGAAAGAAATAGTAACGTATTCTCCTGATAGTAACCTATGCCGACACTTGTAACACTAGTGGTCATACATGAGCCGGATAATTCAATTATTGAAAAAATGCTGTAGTCACTAGTGTGATATGTACATATAACATTAACTGTACATATAATTACAGTTACTGAAAAAGTCTTAGAATCTCATTACATATCGACTGTTCATGAGGGAGGACTCTTCTAAAACTGTAGTTTCCATAGGGATGGATTTCCTGTAGATTTAGTAGCGGATCGCATGACGTCAGAAGGTAGCGCAGTTGGTTATTAATGTAGGCAGTGAGTTCATTGTGTACCTATTGGGTAGAAACATCGGTGTTAATATCTAGCACAGATAACGTAATATTACATAATATCTAGCGACCCGCTCCGGCTTCCCACTTCCACACACGGTGCAATGCTTATAAATATACCTAACTACTATAGAATGTCCTTATAAACAACGTTTACAGCTTTTTGTCATTAGACAGTACAAACATGTTTTGTTTAGCGCCGCCGCCGGTCGGGCCAATACCGCCGCACCGCTATGTCCCTGCATTTTAAATCTAATATCTTCAAGAAATATTCATTTAAATTAAATGCTGTAAAGGGTCACATTGATTTATATTAAATGGACAATGTATTTAAAGTACTTAATTGGATAAAAAATATTAAATTTACTCAAGTACTCTATTACTTATTATCTCTTCCTAAATAAGCCATTTTTCCCGTAAAATGTAAGGGGAATAGACATATACCATCGCGGACTTTTGTTGGCACCTTTTTAAGGTGTACAATAAGTACATTATTTTGATTTATCTAGTGGGGTTCAGCCAGTTAAGCGTATTTTTAAAGATTTAAGCATACATAGCGACGGACAAACAGCGACAGCGACTTTGTTTTATACTATGTAGTGTAATGTAGTGATATCTACCTATGTAAATTAATAAATGTGAATGTATTATGTAGAATGTAAATTTTAACGAATTTCTAATTGTGTTTTTTTAAGACATCCCTTAACTGCTTAATTGCTGCTGCAATATATGCATTAATGATCGGACTATCCTATTTATGTATTCGTAAAGCACGAAGCAATGAAAGGAAAGCAAAGGAAAAGTTGGAAGATGATGAATATTATTGCGCACATCTTCAGAAACGTAAATAACTTACTAATTATAGCGATATTCAGAACTTTTAAGCTAGTAATTTGTGAAATAATAATAACAATAATAATGAGAATGTTTAATTATTTTCTGAAAAAGAGATATCTAAGACCATATTTTTTTAACCACAGCGTTTACTGCCAGCGTCAGTTCGAACCACAGATAAAATAATATATTTGAAGTTAGCAGGTACAGTAATATATTTTAGGTAGGTTTTATATTTGAAATAATTTTATAGCCACTATAATGCGAAATTACTATTTAACTTCTTCTAATTTCCTGTCGAATGTTACTGTTCCGATATTTACACTTTTTATTTCCTCTTTACTGATTTTTTCGGATTTTTCCTGCAATACAAAGGGATAAAATTATGCGGATGTTTTATTTTTATTAGCTGGCTGTATAAGTTAGTGCATACCTATCGCCGTGTTTCAGATTAATATATCGTATTTTATTGGTGTTTCCACGATTGGAGTGTTAATCAGAAATATAAAATGACTTTATTGTATGAATCGGATAGAATCGAACTCAAACCTCTGGGAGTGTTTTCTTCTTATACTACGAAGGTGTGCAACAAGCATATGGGACAACCGTTGCCATTTAATTAACAGTAGGTATCTACCACGGACTTCAAATCATCATGACTCCGTCATCCGTACCTACCAAGTAATTTCACTGCCACTTCAAACCCTTCAACACAGCATACAAAGCAAACTTGGAATGTAGTTAAAATAGGTGAGACAGTTTTGTAGTTATAGGAGTATAGGATATTTGGAGGATATTTGGAGTTATAGGAGTTCCTATAAAGATATCTATTTCATGTTCATATATTATTTCTATATTCCTATACCATGGCCTTATAGAAATTTAATTCACCTGAGCTGTATCAACTTCTTCGTCTTTAGGGAGCTGGTTGGGGTTTAGCCAGGGGTCGGCGAGGATCTGTGGGATCTTGACGCGCATCTTAAGAGGGGCCAAGACTTTGGTAATCAATTTGCGACATTCAGCGGACACTTTTGGTTCCCGTGGAAATGAAACTTTATTTTGGACTTGCTGCAAAATAAGTATTCTCATGACATATTAAATTATCACAAGAAATGTACTATATATTATTTTGAAACCAAATAGCAAAACGATAAAGTTCTCAAACCGATATTTGGTGAGCCTTTCTTGAAAACTGAATAGATTTTGTAGTTTTTACTTATTCACATATAATCGACCTTTTCCAAGACTCGCCATAACATCTTAAAAATCTAAGACAGTATTTTAGTATTTTTTTAGAAGAGTATTAGACAAGCACCTGATAAGTTATTGACCGTTCTTTTCTGATGAATCTGCATTTCGAATGCGTGAAAGCTAAAAAATTACTAAAGTATCTGTAAATAAAGATTATTCAAATTGACTACCTTTAGTAGTTGCGTGTAATTCGTGTCGTCGAATGGTAAACGTCCATAGACAATTGCGTAAAGCACCACTCCCATACTCCAAATATCCGAGTCCTGTGGTCTATATGGAACTCCTTTCAGAATCTCTGGAGAGGCGTAGGCGTAACTGCCGCAAAATGTTTCACTCAGTGAAAATACTCCATTCTTCGGCTTCATATGACCTCGGGCAAAGCCGAAGTCTGATAGCTTTATATTGAGACCGTGGTCCATTAAAAGGTTTTCGCATTTTATGTCTCTGTTATATATGGACATAAATTATATTAATAAATATAAAGATAGGTTTAAAAAGAAATGTTGCATTGGATCGAATTATCAAAACTTTGGACAACATAGTCTAATGACAGATATACCACTAAAGTAGTAACTGCAACCGGAAAAGGCCTGGATTTAAGTTCACGTTATATGGGAAAATACCGAGTTATATAGACATCTGAGTTACACAGGGACTAATATTGTGAACATAAAGGAATAGATGTTTTGTATGTTTGTTTGTATTGAATAAACAGATTTTTTGTAAATGTAATTATACCTGTTATATTTTGTATGTAATTGGAATGATAAATAATATATATATCGCGCTATATCCACGCGTCTGCTGGTAGGTAAGCAATGGGTCGCCTATATCGAACATCCCGTTATCATACGAAGCTCGTGATACCACTCATGGGTTGAAAATCCAGAGGACTATGATTTTAAGAAGTATAGTATATAAACTATAATTAAAATTAATAATACCTATGGACTACTCCTCGATCATGGCAGTAATCAACGGCTTCAACGAGCTGACGAAACCAGCGGCGACCTCGCATTTCATCAATGTGTTGATCTTTACGTATTATGTCCAAAAGGCTGCCGTTCTCGGCGTATTCCATTACGATATAGACTCTAGGAGTTTGGAGTTCGGAAAAATAAACGAATTGATAAGGGATGTAAATAAACTAAGTCATTCATTTTAGATATAAGTAAATAATTTAACGTGATAATGATTACTACAGCTAATACATAATCTAATTAACTATTCACAAAAAGGTTTTTCATTGTAATTCAAATTCATATGATAGAAGCACTGAACCTTATCCACCATGTTTTAGACGAAAGTGGCTCTGTAGTTGTAACACAAAATATATACATAGCCATTTATATATTCCATATTAGCTCTTACGCTGGAACCTAAGTGGTCCCGAACAGTGCGTTTTCAGAAGAGGAGCTTCTTTCCGCGTACACTTAGATTTTGGAATGAACCTCCTGCCGAGGTTTTCCCCCGAGACTACAGCATGGGGTTTTCAAGAAGGCTATATTAAGGTTTCTTAAGTGTCGGCAACGCGCACGTGATACTCTTGGTGTTTCAAGCGTTCATAAGCTACGGTAACCATTTACCATAGATGGGCCGTATGCTTGATTGCTACCATCGGAGTACCTATACAAAAAAAATGTGTGTGCTACTTTGCTACTTTACTATACTAACCAAATCTAATATATAAAATACATATAAACCTGTGGGTAGTTTCGATGGCCTGTAAAAAGCGTATTAAGTTTTCATGTTTCAGTCCTTTTACTACTTCTATTTCTCTAGGTAGGAATTTTTTTAAATAGTCGCCAGGCGCTTGGAACTTGCTTATTATTTTTATTGCTACTTGACAGTTATGTCTATCACTTGTAGCAACCTGGTTGGAAAATAATTAGATAGAGTAGTAATATGTAAGTCAATATTTTATACGTATCTCTAAAAATAACGTATATATCTTTACACCAAAATTCCAGTCTACTTATTATAAATATGTGTTTGTTTATAAGATTGTTTTTTAAAAACTAAAGGGCGGTAATGAAATTGGTGTTAAAATAATATGTATCCTGAAGAATAGAACGTCTTTCAGAGTACTTTTCCATAATAGATGTCTTAATATCTACATACATAAACTGTTGAAATGAAGATAATAGTAATTAGACCTAGGACACAAATGTAATTCCAATAACTTGCCTTGACGGTAGCATAGGAGCCAGACCCAATGGTTCTGCCAAGCACATAGCCATGGGTTTCAAGTACAGTTAGTTTTCTATCTATCTTAGCTTCAACACCGCTGTGTACAGCAGTTGCGGTGGGCTCTGTCGACATTTCCCCGTAAACATTGTCATTGGTTCTAATATCCGGCCCCGGCATATCACAGAAGTACTTTAATTTAGTAAAATTGAACTCGGTATAAGTCACATTATAATGAATATATGGACATGATTTATTTTTCAAGTATTTTGTGTTACTTATGTTGTCATTTTGTCAAAACGGGTTAAACAATTTTGACTTATGTATAAAGGTTTTTTTGTAATCTATATATAGGTAGATGTAATAAATAACAACCAGTACTTTTTATTTGTACAACACTGCATTACAATTTCAATTAAAAATTTAGACTTTGTTTATTAGGCTCTTACAGCTTCTTATTTGTAGTAAAAAAATAAGAATTGATGGTACTTTACGTCCATATTTTAAAAAATCGCCATTAATTGATAACGTAACATTCATTATATTATATAGCCAACACTTTCATACGCTACTGTTACATGAAACCAAACAGTTTCGACGTCAACGTCAATGTCAAAGTCAAAAGCGTGTAAATACTGCCGTATTGCGCCAACAATGGCGGCGAAATAATAATAAATAAATAACAAAGTACACAAAATAACTTAAGTGTATGGTGTATGCCATAAGAAACCGCAGTGTTCAATACTACTTGTTAATATATTGAAATATATATATATAGATATATTGTTAAAACATAAAATATTTAATATTCAACTATTGAATGTTATATAAAACTAAAGTTTTGCATATCATTGTAGTGATAAACCAAACGTTCAAATTTTTAATACTATTGTATAAAGAGGTAACATTTTTGTAATTGATAAGTGAATTTATTTTTCTAAATAAATATATATATATCCCTAAATTGCTGAAGGAAACCGTCACCGTGTATGTACTTCATTGGATTTAAGCATGCAAGTGGTAGAAGTTGTGCATTTTTATTGTAATTTATTTAATGTATTTAGCTGAAAGTCATTTTTTAACCTTTTTTATTTTGTAGTAGTTTGTGTTAATTATCTCTTAAATTCTCATAATTTGGTATACAAATTATATTTAGTACCTAAAAATCTGATTGAATTTCATATTTGTACTAGAATTAAATTGAATTTGTGTTCAATTAAGTAGTTGGTAGTTATTTGTAATTATTCCTAAAAAAATTGTTGTAATTGATTGTATACATATACACATATATATATATATATATATATAAAAGCTGAAAACAAACAGGTTTTTTTGAAGAAGTATAAAACTGACTAGTATTTTACCAATAAGTATTTTTTTACTTTTTTAAGTTTATTAGAATGGGAATCTCTGATGGGGCCTATACATGATTATTAGTATATGTTGTACTTAGAGATCTTATAGGTAACCATTCAAGTGTATTTATGAAATTTATTGAAATAAATATTGCTTATTTCTATTTCTGTTATTCTATTTTCATAAAAATCCAGCTGCCCATTCTGCTTGTCTATGGTATAATGAAGAATATGCGACTAAATCTTTCCTTTACTACACACACACACAGTTAAAATAGAAACTGAAGAATTTGAAAATCATCAATTATTTCAATATTTATTTCATGTAAAGTATCAAAACATTAAAAAAGAATTAGCAGAATATATACAGCCCTACTGAAGTTATGCATTTACATATGTATGATTGGTTTATATTTATATGGATAAATAATATTAATAATAACCCTGTTTTTAATCATTCACACATAATTTCATATAATCCCAACGATGCAGAGCTTTTGGTATTATATATATACAGTTTTTTGGAATTACATATAAAAAAGTTCATCATAAAAAAGACCGATACTAACAATCATACTGATGAATACTACTGTTTGCATCATGCCATGTAAGGAGGTGTTTTATGTATGCATGCATATGTACAGCAAGAACACAAAGGCTGTCCAATATATCTATTAAACAGAGTATTAATTATACAAATACATGATAACAACTTATTGTTCAGAGTTATTATCATTATTAGTAAACTTGAACCTTGACCATTTTTCACAGATATTGTTTAATTTTATTTAATGGATGGACCAATTTGTGAAAATAGAATTTGAATTAGCTCAAATTTTACAATATCCTGATTTATATTATTTTAGTTAACTCTGATGCAAGGTTGAAATGCAAAACTTAATTTATTTGAACCTTTTTAACAGTCATATTCATCATACTTTAATTTGTTCACAAATAATATATATAGTCAAGACTGCTAATCATGCTGCTAGAAAGTGGTCACTGAATTTTTAAATCACACATTTTTTTTTTAACCTATTTTTATTAAGTGAAAATTACACAAAGATTTTAGTAAATGCTGTCGAAAATTAGAAAATATTAATAATGAATAATGAGCATGACAAATTTTATGTTGATGATTCCGTTAAAGTTGTATTCATGTAATTAGCATCATGATATTTGCAGAATATTCCCCTCTATCCATGGTAAGACTTAACCCTTCCTTTCAGACAAGTTAGAGCACTATATACTTTTTTACCAATTATATTGACAACACAGTATTTTTAATAATAATGCATTGCTTATTAATGAATTACTGCCTTCCTACATTTACTATATTTGAGGTTGGTTTTCTATCTAGATGTGGTACATTATCACTTCGTTGTATCAGTCCTATAGCTGTAAGTGCTCACTGTGGTTGTTTTATGGATGTACATTTTAGATTTTATTGTGCAAACAATAATAATTTGCAGATATGAAATGAATGTATTTTAATTCATATTATTTTTTGACAGTATTGATGTATTGATACTAAGTGATACAAAAATTGGGAAGGTATATTGAATACCTATTAATAATAATTATGATACTTTGAACAAGGCCATTATTAGCATGACTATTATGTGAGCTGTATTCATGTGCAAAAGTTTCCTAATAACTGTGACATTGAAAGGCTTTTTGGAAAAGTTACGATGTGAAATGCATTGACAAAATTTCGTGTTAAAAACCCGATGCTTTTCGGTGCCTGCAGAGAACAAAGAAAACAATTGCAGCAATTGTAGCCGGGGCTGGTCGTGCGAATCGTGTCGTGAACGTCCCGTGCGAGCTACCCTTAATATTACCACTCGCGTAGATCTCTCTATGCATTTTGCTTACCTTCACAAACAATACGAAGTCTGCAGGTCAGGCTTCATTGGACACGTGCAATACTTCATTCGATGACCTATTTTCGTACATTTGCGTCGTTTTTATTTGCTTTTATTCAGAAAACGTTTTTTCTAGTGTATATTCCTCTATGGTACCAGCCTTTTGTTGCCGTAATTGGGTATTCTCTGTCTACGAGCTTTTATGTTATTAGATGGCGCGGGTTATTTAACATATGTACTCTCCTCTTTATTACTGTTGGCGGACTATTTTGTTATGTTGTTCACAGTATGCTACTAGTTTTATATAAATGAAGACCTTACGGTTTAATTTGGAGCAAAGATAACAAATTGATATCACACTATGTTGATTATCCCGACTTTTAGAGTTCTCATAACATGAGATCGACACAAAAAATATCTATATCGTATGTAGAATATTACAATTATAACTCTTCATTGATCAAAAACACTAATAACAAAGCAAATTAATGAAAAATACCGCCGCTTCCATAATATTCTCAGTACATTTGGGCATATGTCAAGTGCTACATTCAGCATAATATATAGTTTGTAATGGGAACTAGTAAATACTAGTATTGCTAGTAATTTATCATGTTAGGTTGATCTCTACATGGTGTCCTCTGGAAATCATTGTGGTTAATTTATAGTGAATTCGCCATGTTGGGCTAATTGATCTGACTTTTGTTGTCATTTTATTATCTTCAAGAGTATACCGTTAGCGCAGGAATACCACACCATCGTTATTCCGTCTATGATTTAGCGAATAAATCTAGGATTACGTACACAATAATTCTTCTGAAATATTATATAAGAATTTCCACGGATTGTTATTTCTTTTAAACCGCAGTAATGAAGTGTCTGAATAATTTTGGGAAAGTGGCGTCCTTAATTAGGTTCTGCAGAAAAATGTGACCTTTTCGATTTATTATAAAAGTACCTACTTCTTTTCAAGTGCGTCTCCAAATATGCTGACGCTTAATTGCCAATTAATTCTTGTTCTTATTTCACTTTACACGGAACGCTTTTAAGCTACAAACTTCACAAGGTATGTACCTAACTAGATCGACTCACGTATCCGCGGGGCGTCACATCAAACAATTAAGAGTTTATCTCCAAGTTAGGTGCACCGCGGCGATATATTGCAGACTTGATTACTTTTTTCCGCTCCTAACTAATAAAAGTTGACCAGGAGACAGGGAACTTACAAGTTTCATTTTTAATTGAAACACTTGAGCCTTCGTAGGCAGTAAGTATTAAACGTATCTTTACAGTGTTATAAGTTTAACTACCTTATTCCATTACTCTTGGCACCTCGGGGGAATGGGTAAATCTATTTCTCTACCTAAGTTATGAGCGCACAAAAGGTGTTCTGGGCTTAAGCATAAGTGGTTAGATCTTTAGATAGATGCTTTGATGTCGTTCTTGTTACTTAGTTGACATTTATTGAATAATGACGAGTAGGAACTAAGTGTACATCTTTTGTAGTGTTAATTGTGAAATTAATACTAACGAGATAGCATCCTATTGTTTGAAAAATTTATATTAGCCATTGTAGATAATAATATAGATTTATTATTATGTATTTTAGTATATAGAACACAATTATAAATATAGAGAATGATATGTTGCAAATTTTCTTATAATTTTAAGAATGTTTTGACAATCGCAAATTATATGGTCGGAAACAACATTAAGTTTTACTTCAACTAGTTATTATTGTATTTGTAAATGATATTAATTTTCTTTTTATTCGTAGATGTTTTCAAAGGCTGTTTTCATTGCTCTGAAACATTTTGATGGTAGCCATTCTGCACAGACATCTATAATTAAACAATAAAGCGATTTTCTATGTGTTTAAAATTAAAATATTTTATGTATGTATCCGAATGACAGTTTATACATTAACACATGTATGATGATTTTTCACGATGCGGGATATATACAAATATTCGTGCTTGTTTTTACAATATTGTTTCTTTAAGTAGATGGAAATAGTCGGTAATATGCACTTCATTGTGCATTAGCGTATAAAATGTGCAATCACTGATCTGCATATATATAAAGAAATG